ACGGCGGCCCAAGGACGAGTAGCAATCGCCCGAGGACCCCGCGAGAAAGGAGGAGCGGAAGCAGGTGACGAACGATAAGCGCGCGGCAGATAAAGTGGTGTGAGGGGCGGTGATTTAGGGAAGAGCAGAGAAGGGTGAGCGAGGAAGAAAAGGGCAGGAGGATGGGGCTATAGCCGGAGGGCGTCGACTAAGTGTGACTTGGTAAATGCAAGGAGAACTTGCAGTGAGGGGAAACAAAAGCGACTTATAAAACAGAAACAAAAGAAGTAATAATGACTTGGGAAACTATTGTTATGTATGCATAAATAATAATAATAATAATAATAATAATAATAATAATAATAATAATAATAATAATCTATGACTGATGACAATAGAACAGAAACTCCGATGGAGATTTGTGATTTTTTCCTAATCTCAAAGAATTTTAATAGTGCATTTAAGACCATTAAAGAATCTATCTTTATACGTTGTGCTGTACATGAACTTGTCATCAAGATATCAGCAATAACCGTTTACCAATGTATTTGCTATTGAAAGCAAAACCGTTCACCGATATATTTAAAAGATGTCGCAGCTGGAATGCGAAGACAAATTCCTGGCTACTGGTAAATATAATCAAGCGCCGTAGTGCATACTGCTTTCACCTTTTCAATGATGTTACAGTTCAACGATAGAGTTGGGAGTGTTCTGGCGAATGATATGCCTTGGTAGATTTTCTCGCGCGCAGGTATGTTTGCGGCAATAATTTGCTGTTGAATTGCGGCTCTTATTGTTCTCTGAGCAAGCAAATTGCTTTGCATCTATTTCTGTTGTTAATAAAACGTATGTTCGACACGAAATGCTGCTCTGAAACGGTAGATCAAACGGTTCAAAATTATCTGCGACCAAGTTAGGGTTGCAAACGAGTTACTTTCATGTTCACAATATTAACCTAGCACACAGATATAATGCAAACGTATAAGTGTCTACAGAAAATTAATTTAGCTATATATATATGTGTATATATGTATATATATATATATACATATATATATATATATATATATATATATATATATACACACACACATATATATATCTGTGTGTGTGTGTGTGTATGTTAGCGTGTGTGCGTGCATGGGCTGAATTATGTGTATTGTTAGCCACGATTTTATTAATCAAAAATTACATTCTAGCTTCAAATAGAAATTAAATAGCATGTAATCCACAAAGAATTGGAACGAACTGGCTTCATTGAGACGGGCATAACTAGTTTTCTCTCGCTTGAAAGATTCTACCTTTCAGTAGAAATGCAGTCTTTTTCGACAACAGTTCATAGCCAAGTCGAATGAAGTTACTACGTCATTAACTTTTTTTTTATTCTGACCATTTTTAGCGATAGTCGGTGAGGGGAACCCAGTACCAAGCCACGGATTACACGTGATCCCCATCCCATTTTCACTATGAATTCTAGGAATACTAATAACTTTTTTCCATTTGACCCCTCCTCCACAACTACCGTAGAATCTACAGCAGGAAATACACGCAAACCATCGGATAGAAACAACTGATGTGGCAATCACTGCGAAAGGCCAAACGAAGAAACACGAAGCAGAGCACTCACCTGGAAACCGTCATAGGTCCACGAGCCAAACTTCATGACGCATGTCTGCTCGTCGAAAGGAAAATACTCTACGTCTATCTCGCAAGACGACTTGTAGATGGCCGGCGGCTTCCACTCAACGCGACCCGTGTAGTTGAGCGTCGCCTTCGTCGCCAGCGTCACCTCGAAGTTGCCGTCGGCGCTGCCACACAGAGTCAAAGGGCTCATCAAACAGAACAGGCTTCCGACGATGTCATCTCAAGTTTGGTCTCACCTTAAGCACATTTAGATTTGGATTTTTAGCGTTATTTTTGTTATAATTTATTAATATATTTGACCATTTTAAATAATAGTAGTGAAAATTGAACTCTGATTATTTAATTGCAAGTTTATCGATTTATTTGGAACATTCGTAATGAAATTTTAACTTGTTTTGGAGACAACCAGCTGATGTACTAGCCAAAGACCGTGTGACTCGTTGGCGAGGAGAAGCTTTGACGAGGGAGGAGGTGGGATGACCACTGCGTTGCGTTCCATCTAACTTGCAATAACTTTTTCAGGTAACATAATTTATACAGGCTCCGGATTGAATGAAACTTTACATCCCCTTTCACCTCAAAAACAAGAACAACCCTTACAACTACAAACGAGAGTTTCTTTTTTGTTTAGAGACAAAAAAAATTTGGACTCTATCTTTGACACGGAAGATTAAACGTTTTACTTAAATAGTCATCTTGTTTGGTTTAAAACTTTTCTTGATCACAAAGTACACGAACATTCAATTATTTTATATTTTTGGAAGAGTTTTAGAAGACAAATCAGTTTGGAATCAACAACTGAGTGAGTTCGCGTGAGCACGCGCCCGTCAAAGATCAAAAAACGCCCAAATCGGATTATAATGTACACAATCTTTAATGTACATAATCTACACACAGAGTTTGAATAGAATGTAATTTTAAAAATCGAAACTCAAAATATTTTTATATTTGATTTATACTTTATTTATTTTAAGACATAAATGGTCATTAGTTTAAATAGTTATTTAAATCGCTCAAAATGATCATCGAAATCTTTTTTCTTCGAGTACTCCGTGACAGTCAAAACAAAAGCATATCTTTATTCGTGCACTAGGGTAGTTCATTTCTTTCATTCCTAAAGTGTACTATGATTCGTCGTTACATTTTAATATGAAATTTGAAGATAAACAGTCTTCGAATGTGTGAAAGACGTGATTTCTGTTTTGTTTTTGTTCTTAAGGGAATTTTATTTTGCGTCTAGAGAGAGTCGCATGGCTTGCTCTTGTAGTGTGAGTTTGCAGGTGGAAACCAGGTTCCTAGTTTCGTAGAGAGGGCGGTGGCGGGAGCGGGACCGGGCCAAGGGCGGAGGCGGGGCGTGTGTGGCGAGGGGGCGGGGGAGGCGCGGAGAAAGGGGTGGTCCCTAGGCCGGCGGGGGGGCGTCTTTTCGAGAGCAGCCTCGGAAGGAGTCTCATTAGCCGCGACTCACTTGTTGTAGAGCACAATGTCCGGCCGCCAGATGTGGTCTGAAGGCACGTGCAGCATCTCCACCCCGCCGTACTCGCGCGGGTCCCACTGCAATTTGTAGTCGTACCACGACTACACACAAAGAGCGCGTGTCAGCAGAGCCTTACACTACCCCCTGCCACCCTCCCCCGTGCCAAGGTGCTCACCTGCTCCACCCAGAGGTTCGTCGTCATTATTTGATTCTTGAGGTTCTGCAACAGGAGGAAAATTGTAATTAATTTTAAGAAGCAGTTTTTCATATTGTATTTTACAGATCGTTGTATTTTTATGGACATAAAGCGAAAAGAAGTCGATAAATATAAAAATTTTAATTTCAATATTGTGTTAATGTTTTAGGATTCTATAAATTATTTCCATATTAATGTTGCCTCTAGTGTAGTTTTAGTATTAGTTAATATCAATGTATTCAAACTTTACAATAATACATTCGGGAATGTGTCATTAAAATGTAATAAATTGATTGAGTCATCAATATAAGATTATAATACGCAAATGTTCGATATTGAATTTCTTTTCTAGTAAGTAGGTAGTTCAAAAGCCCATATGTAATAGTATAACGCACGTAAAAAAATGAAACTGTAAGCTTTTGATCTGAGCGTTCCAATTCTGCACATGTTAAAAACCTGATTTTATTATTGATAACGCAGTATGTTTTGAACAAATCATTGTGATAGAGTAGAAAGTCACAAACAATAATGTTAATGCGTTGTCCAAAATACTACACTGGAATGCAATTAAAAACACATATTAAATTGTAAATTGTCCGTTTATATTTTTATGTAAACACTATATATTATCCACGTTTTAAAGGAAAGGACAGATTTCAATCTCATTTAAAAGAAATTTGGTTATGTCAATTCTAATTTATTAGTTAAAATGTCTGATAAAATACAATATTGAAGCAACGTTTAGGTTTCATCGTCAGGCTGTAAAAATGGAGAAATATAACACTGATAAGACAGCTACCACACTTAAAACGTATACAAAGTACTCAGTAGAAAACACAAGTCTCATCTTGTTGAATATCATAAATTGGTGACGGACAAAAATCATTTTATAATGAATGAGCATACTTCGACAAGTTTATTTTAATAAACTGTCCGTTTCTATAAAATGTGATCAATGCATATAGTGTTTAATAATAATAATAATAATAATAATAATAATAATAATAATAATAATAATAATAATAATAATAATCCAGATATTTTGAGCTTTCAGATATCACGAGTATCAGAAAAATAAAAAAGAATCCTTTTTTTATCTTTTAATAATACGCAAGTCAAACTTCTCTGAAGGACAGCTTTACATAATTTGCGTAAGTAAAATTATGAAATATTCGATTAATTATCTTGAAGATTCCATTTATTCTCGTCAAAGAAGAATATATTCTTAGGATTCGCTCTGGTTCCAAATGGTCTCATCGTCTCCTCAACAATAGACAATCGGAATCTTCCTGAAAAAAGCTGACTGAACTACTCCTTTCTTAAAGAACAGTGAGTCATTACATGCTCTTATTTCCACAACCCTTCTCCGGGAACAACTAAAGAAGTACTTCGTCTTTCTTTGATTGTTTGAAACAAAGACAAGTCGATTATGCCATCCACTTCCCTGGTTGCGCATCTGCTGTTGGCAAAAATGTTAACCGGTTCTACCTATACCGCTCTCCTGCATTTCATAAGATCTGCATTTGATTTTGAAGCACCAGATGGCCTTGTGGAGACGTTGAGCTCTTGTTGGGGAGCTGGCAGACAGAGAACGGCGGCGGCGGCGGTGGAAGGGAAGGGGGAGGGTGAAATGTAGAGGCGGGACAGCAGAAATTTGCATGATTGCACCGCGCCATTATGCAACTTCCCTCCTCCAATATCTCGGGCAGCCGGAGAGACGAGAGAGACAGACAGTACAAAGGACGAAGAGAATGAACGAGCGGAGCGTCATTTTTGAAACGAGACGTTGCAGTGTAATCGAAATTCTGAGGCATCTATGTTACATCATCAAAATTGCTCGTTCACTATAAGAGAAAAGGGCTAGATACAGCTTTAAAGAGGGTTCGTACTATACACGAGAGTGCATTTTCAATTGAGATATTTTTGTTATGATGTGGTACTTGGCGTTTCTCTAAACTTGAAACAAAAATTTACAATAATTTAATTCTCGTAGAGATTAATAAGAATCAAAATTTCGTAATTGAGTTTTGCTAAATATCACTTAATCAAATCGATTTAGTTTTGAATGTTATGAGATCGCAGTTATTACGTTACCCCTCAAAGAAAATTCTGGCTACGGCATCGGTAGGAAATAATGAAGAAGGAAAGGTTCATTAATACAGAAAAGGTCATTAAAATCTGTTGTAATATCAAAATTCATTTAGAGAATGAAACGCAGAAAGGATGATTAAAAATCTGTTTTAATATTAAATTTCATTTTGAGGACAAAACGCAGAAAGGGTCATTAAAATGTTATCATATCAAAAATAAATTTAAGGACGAAACGCAGACAATTTCGGGGTGGATGAAAATGTTTCGTTTACATCTAGATACTGTCATTCTTTGCAAGCGGGAGATTTGATTTCAATCGAAGTTCATCAAATATTTACATGGTATTCAAGCCGCTTGATCTTTAGCGGTTCGTGTTTGAAACCCTGTCTTCCCCCAATCGCCTGCCCTCCCGCTCCGCGTGGAGCTGACAGGCAGCCGTCCCGCCGATCGCTCATCCATTATGCGTTCGACAGGAAGGAGAGGCGGCGCCCACGCAGGTAAGCGCCGAGGGCTGCAGAAAAGACAAGCGTCCTCGTTAATTCTTGAAAAAGCTCCCCTCTCCCTTCGCACCCTCCCGTGAATCCGGGAGCTCTTTTCTTTCCCCCAGCGAACGACCGGTCAAGGTTATCTGGGACACCCCGGAACCGTCGGTGAAACGGGTCACCGAATCGCGTCAGAATCGCTCTTTAGGCCCTTCCGGCAGAGAGGGCCCTCCGGGCCGCTCCCAAACCGAGCGGGTGCGGCAGGCTGTAGGGCGACCGCGGCGGCGGGGGAGAGTGGGGAGGGGCGGGGAAGGGTGAAATGCGGAGGCCGAGAGAGAACAGAAGAGCAGCGCGGAGGGGCGCACCGCGCCGCGTCGGGTCGTGCCGCACCGCGCCGTCCCGCGCCGCGCCCACGCGCCGCGCGTTGCCGCGCAACGGCCTCCACGCCCCGCATTGGCACCTGCCACCCGCCGCGCCGCGCCGCGCCGCGCCACCTCCGCGGAGGCGGATGGTGGGTGGGGCCCCCCGGGGGGCGGCGGCGCGGCTGCGCGCGGAGGTTGCGGCGCTGGGCTGGCGACGGGCGCGGTGGAGAGGCCGCGCTCCCGGGATCGATAGGCGCGCCCCACCCCGCCGCCCCGGCCCGCCACGCCACTCACCACGTCGATCAGCTGCGACAGCTTCAGCTTGATCTTGACGGTGAGCGCCGTCGCTCACGTTCACCACGGCCGCACCAGCTTGTTGTAGTTGGACAGCAGGTCGTCGTAGAGGCGCTTGGCGTCGGGTTGCCCGCCGCGCCGCCTGCAACGCAACGGAAGTCCCCGCTCGCTGCGGCCGCCACCCGCTCCGCCCTGATTCCAAAATGCCAGCGAACCGGGTACTGGTTTGGTCCTCGAGGCTCTACGAACCACGTCATGCAGGATTCTATCAAATGGATCACGTCGATCCGAGAGACATTCATGCGGTATTTCCCCGTTCCCATGGTGACGAGTAAAATACCGAGCCATGATTTGAAGAATTTCCTTGATTTGAACTCCAGGAACCATTGGTTATCATATGACATGTAGCGTACCATGTGACGCATCATTGCCCCAGATATTTGTAAATGCATCACACTGTACCTACACCAGCTCACCCCTGTGCCTGAGTTAGTTGCGACTGCAGACATTGCTTGCATTGTTTTTGCCCCGCCGCAGCACCCCCTCCCCCACTCTTTCGCGTAAGCGCTAGAGGTCATGAACCCGGCAGTGACCCGCCGTCGCGTCGCCGCCCACGCCATTGCCCGCGCCGCGCGCGCTCACCGGCCAGCAGCCCCAGCGCCAGGCCCAGCAGCAGCCCCGCAGCAGCGGCGGCGCAGCGCGGGCGGCGCCGCCGGCCGCGCCATGGGGGCCCGGCGGCGGCGCCGCCAGCGTCCGGCCTCAGCGACGGCTGCGGCGGCCCGGCTGCCGCGGGCGAGCGGCGGCTGCGGCTGGAGCGCGCTGCCGCATCCTCCGGCGGCGGTGGCCATGCGGCGGTGCGGCGGCGGCGGCGGCGGCGCCCGACCGCTCGCGGCGCGTGACCCACCCGCGGCCCGAACCACCGGCGGTGGCGGCGGCTGCGGCGCTGAGCCCAGCGGCGAAGACGGCTGCGCGGTGCCGCTCCGCTACCTCCGGTCACCGGATCGAAACTGCCGCGGGCGGGCGGCTGCGCCGGTTCCGCGCCCGGGCGCGCACCCCGCCCCCGCGCCGCCACCCGGCCGCCCCCGACGCGCACGCGCCGCGACGCGCCGCCCGGGCTCGCACGTGAGCCGGGCGCCCGCCCCCCCCGCCCCGCCCCGCCATGCCGCGGCTGTATCCGCCCTCCCCAAACGCGAGGCCGGGTCGCACGCAGCTTCGGAGTGTGGCGTAGCGGACGAGGCAGGGGCTTAGCGGTGAAACGGAGCGAGCGCGAGAGAAAGGAGGCGGAGAAGAGCGCGATCGGCCGCGTGCGCCCAGAGGATGGGTGGGAGGGCGGAGGAGGGACGCGGGGGGTTGATGGCGGCGCCGCCTCTCCGAATTCACGGCCAACAGGAGGCGCCCAATTTTCTGGCGACAACGGCAGCGCCTCGAGAAGGGTGGGTAGAACGACGGGTGAGCGAATGGATAAAACTCGAGAGCTGCGGGCACATCTGCGACCTATCGATTGCGCGACGGAACCGCGCGCCGCTCTGTTCTGCGCACCGTCTTCTTCCGTAGCCCAAATCCAGGTCCCCCAAGGACATGGACGCCATTTCGCGGGGATCAACATGTTCTTCGAAGAGCCAGTGTCAGGCGGGGCACTCCGATGTTTTACGATTTCCTGGTTTCCTCTTCCGGCATGTGCTGTGCATTTGGAACTCCAATAATTTAGTGATAATGGCGTTCTTTCAAATATAATATCATAGAAATGACCCATGTGAAGTCATAAAATGCCATAAACAAAAAAATTTACTGAAATTCATTACTTCCTTCTCTTTTCTCTTTAACCGTTTCCTAAATATCAAAAAAATATAGTTCAATCCCCTCTGTGAAGTAAAAAACATCACCGAGGGAAAAATACTATGATTGTATGTATGAAAAGAAAGCATATGGTAAATAATGCCACACAAGCAATGTTTTTTTTTTATTCGTCGACAGATTCATGATTTTGAAAACATTCCCGATGTTCTAGCAGAACGACGTAATTCACAGCCTGCTACATTTGGCAGTGGTTATTTCCTCGAATCGTACATGCATCATGGGAAACGGAGGCCATGTTGAAGAATGAGTTTAGAAGGCAGTGATGCAGTATCTTCATGTTGTGATGTCCTGGCAAGCACTAGCGTCGTCTCTTGTACGTCGAAAAAATCTATGATATTTAACTATTTAGTGGTAAGTACGTGTTGTTCGTTGAAAGATAAGCGGAGTACAGTCAGATTTCAAAAATTAATAGCGCCTTTAGAAAATCACTTCCGTTTGAAACAGGAACAGGAAGTCCAGCTGCATCATGGCGATAATGAAAACATCCTGTTCATTTTTAAGTTAAGATCGGTGGTAGCGATTTACGTTTGACAGTTGTAGTGTCAAGAGCTCTTGTGCAGGTTAACACTCGACATGTTACTCTTGTCGAAATATTATTTATTTAGGAATAGGTTGAGGTCAGTGGGTTATACCGCAAGTGGGTCTATAACCTAACATTATCAGATATCGTTTTCTCTTTATTGAAGAGGTTATGTTGTAGAATGTATACTGGTGGATGTTATCAGTTAAACGATACAATTTTTCTGTGCTTCAAGGAGTAAGTTTCTGCATTTGTCGATTTTATAAATGATATGTCGCAACTTATTTTAACAAAAAGGTTTCATATTGTTTTTAGTGATTTAATTAATGGACACTATGCAAGCCATTATGTGTGCTGATGACGTTGGAGCGTTGGATTCCACTTTCATTCCGGTATGTTGTTAATTTTAACATATGCTAAAATAATTTTTTTAGTGCATATTAGCATTTAGCTTTGTAAGTTTAATTGAAGTTAATTTTTTAAATATCTTCTCTAATGTGTAATTGAAACATGATTGATTTTTGAGAAATTAAGAAAAATATTTTGATTTTAGATTCAGGTGGAAGGCCACACACCAGCCTTTCGATCTGTCACAACATTGTCACTTGTGGAATTAGGAAAGAAACTGTTAGAGAGTGCTAAGGAAGGTGACACTGAGCAAGTTCGACAGTTGATGAGCCGAGGAGCTCCATTTACAACAAATTGGGTAATTTGATTTAGGAACTAATCAATATTTGATGAAAAATTTATTTTAGAACCTAGTTTATCCTTTATTTATTTTTCTGATAATTTCATTATGATGAATAAAGTCACAAAATTGAAGGATTATTGTAGTTTTTGATTTTGTTTGAAAGTGCTTGAATTTAATTACATCATAAATTATGAGAATATCCTTTGTGGCACTTTTACACTCTTATGCTAGCTCTTAAAGCAGTTGTCGTAATTTTTTTTTTCAAGGGAAGATTTTTGATTTGTAATGCTATTGTCTTGTGACAAGCTCCCTGAATTAATGTGGTGACACTTATTTCCAAGCCAAAAACAGCAGATTTTCTGACAAGGACTGTTGCACTTACAATGTACGTACAACAAATGTACAATGTCTTTCTAAAACTTACTTTTACATCATACTATTTCACCAGAAATAATTATTGGAGCATAAATATTAAGTTAAATGTGCCAAGATTTTCAGAATTTCTTTTGTTTACATAATGTTGGACTTTTCACCCAACATTATGTATTTCTTTTCATCTTTTTATTTTCTGTTTCAAAGAATTGGCATTGGATTGACATTTTCATGAAAAACATTTCCAGAACAGACATGTAACTACTATTTTTGTCCTAAGATTGGTTGTTCTGTACAATTTTCAATCCTACACTCATCATCAGTTTAGGAGTGGTTTCTTTTAGTGTTTGTGCAGGTGGAAAAGCAGAATTCATTCGAATAGTGATGGATGCTATCATCTTGTCTGTCAGCTTCGACTTTTTGCCTTCGAGTCTGTTGTTTAATGTCGTTTCTGATAGTCTTTGTTGATTCATACGTTTTATAGGCCTTCTCAATTTTCTCTGTTATTGTTTTATTTCTTTTGATAGGTTTTCAGTTCTTATCCAATTTTCTAATTTTGATGTGTGATCCTTCAATTCCTGAAAACCTTTTTTTTACATTTCTTGCGAGCTCTCATCCTTAATAAAATTAAATTATACATATTGTAGTTCAGTGAGATTTCTTTCTTTCATATCATATCATATTGTATTTAATATCATATTGTTTCAGTTGGGCATAAGTCCTCTTCATTATGCTGCTCAATTTGGGCATGTTGAGACAGCTGAAGTACTTCTTAGAGCTGGAATATCTCGAGATGCTCGTACCAAAGTAGAGCGTACTCCTCTTCACATTGCAGCGCAAGAGGGCAACACAGGTGTTGTGGAGTTATTGCTGACATCAGGGGCTGAGGTGGATTCAAGGGACATGGTATGTACTCTTCAAGGCGATACATTGTCACCCAAGATGGCCTGCTAGGTCAGTTCTCTAGTAAATTTATTTATTTTTTATGATATAAGCAATCCCTGAATTAAAAATTTACTCAAAAAATGTAAATCAAATTTTTAGATTTCAACAATAAAATATCATGTAGAGCCAGATAAGATGAGTGTGAACAGAGAATAAACTACTTAAAAATTATTGAATCACTTTTTACAACTAACTATAATATTTAAGGAATGGCACTTTCATTGTAATAATGAATGTAGATGTTGGGATAGTATCTAAATAAGTATTATTAGTGGGCTATTAATTATTTAATTTTATTTCTTTAGATGTATTTTACCTTTTTATTGTTTTAAGGAAAAATATTGAAGTGGAAGTAGACAATTGTATTAAGTGCTTTTTATTCTTAAAAATAAAGTCATTGTTTTAACTGTCATCATCATTGTGAATGTCAATTATTAGTAGGTCTGCGTCAGTGATGTTGATTTGAAAATATTTTGACTGGATATAATGTGAAATAATGTTTATATTGTCTACCTAGAATTTTAGATGTTCTATTTAGAAATGTATCTTTGACCCTCAGTTGCGAATGACTCCTCTGCATTGGGCAGTGGAACGAGAACATATTGAAACAATTTCTGTGTTATTGCAACATGGAGCAGATCCTCATTGCACAAGCAAGTTCAACAAAACAGCTTTCAGTATAGCTATTGATAACGGTCGAGAGGATATTCTCCAGATTTTGCAGGTACTTAGAGCCAAGAAAATATTTAGTTGTTAGGCCCTGAAATGTGTCTAAAACAAATGAAGTATTATTTTTCTCTTTATAGATTTTATTTAAGCAATATTTAGAATATATAACTTGCCTCCTTCAATTTAAATGAATTTGTTTTGAAATGATTTGGTTTAATTCTTGATATTAGTGGTTCTAAAGTCTAGAGTTATATTAGAACAATCTTTTTTCTTTAAATTTAATACATTTCAGGCATTCCTATACATTACAGAAATATTTTAAAATTATATTTCATTTTTTTTAAATTTGAGCATTGGTAAAAAATAACTTTTTTTTTTTTTGCTACTTAATTTGAAAGTATTTCATGTGGGAACAAGTTTGGGAAAATTCAGAGACCTATTTATTTTGCACTACCTTGTTATGGTATGCATTTCTATTGTTTTTAGGCCACTGCTCGACCAGAAGTACAAACCATAGAATCTGTTGATGCTCTTGCTTTGCAACAAGCAACATTAGCTGCAACACAGAGCTTGGCAATGGAATTGGCCCAAGCTCCTGCAGCCACTCACCAAGAAGAAGTGGAGACCAGCACGGCCGCAGCAGCTGCAGCAGCAACAACAGGAGGTTGGCCCCCTTTTTCTTTACTTAGATCGCATTGCTGTTTCTGTCACTATGGTTAGCACAGCACATACAATTATGAAGGAATTCATATTCTCCTTCTTAATTTCCGGACATTATTCCGACTTGAAGCTACTTAGCCAAAAATCAGCTTAAAACAATTGTCATATTCAAAATTTTTTCTTAAGTGTAATTAATTGCTGTTCTTACTAGTGAGAGTTTCTAAAACTTCCAAGTAGTTCCAAGTAGTGGAACCTGTCTTAAGTGGTCACTGATGGTTCTGGCAAAAAACTTATGTTAATAGAGGTGGCTGCATAATTAAGGTTATAAGATAACTGCATGTGTACATCAGATGTAATGGTGTGAATCAAATTAAATTAAATATATAGCTAAAGTCTAGTAGATGGTACAACTTATGAAAGTCGTTTTAATGTTACATCGCACTGCTCCAGTGAGGGGGGGGAAATCCATGGTGAAGGTAATGAGGGTGTGTGTAATTGGTCATGAACATGTCGTCTCATAAGTTAGGGGAGGCAATTTCACCCTAATATCTTTTCAAAGCTCCATTACGAAATAGCATTTCGTAAATAGTTTGTGGTCTGTTGTGGTGATAAGCAAAGGTTGTAGTGTTCTTTCTTCACAATGTGTTTGCAACTGCAGTTTGAATTCCGGAAGTCTTGAATTTCTTGTAAAGTGATTTCTTATAAAAGTGAATTAATAATTATGGGATGGACAGACTTAAGGATGTTTATAGTGTATGCGAGAGCTAAAGACCCGAGCATTGCCGTGACTGGGATTCGGGCGAGCGAAGTGAGAAAACTTGCCTTGAAAAGTAATTTGGCATTACAATGTGGTGGGGACAAAGGGTATGAAGGGTGAGCCTTGAAAATCTCATACCCATAAGTTTTATTCATTTCTATCAGAGCCCGAAGCGTAATTTGAGTGAGAGCTTAAGGAGATACCTTTCCTCCTCAGCCCACCTTTCCCCACCCCCCAATCACCGCGGTTCTCTACGGGTATACTGTGTATTCAACTTTAACCAAATTGATTTTTCATGAAATCAATTTAATCACCCTAAGCTGTCAAATGCAATTTACAACAGGGATCTATGAGCATTTGCCATCTCTTGAGTAGTATCAAAACTGGGAGAGATAGCTCAGGATATTGACTGATGTCGCTGCAATACCTCTGACTGCGAGATCCTAGGGTCAAGCCCTGATGGCGACAGGATAACTTATGGAACTAATGACCTTGGCTGTTGATGCGCCCAGGATCACTAACAATCAATCATCATATGAATAATGTAAAACATCTCATCTCTTACTCAAGAAACTCGCTTTCTATCCTCGCCCGTTGGAATTCGTGAGCAAACTCAACTTGAAGATACAATTCACATTTTGCATAAACTTTAGAGAAGTGTTGCCTGAAAAAAGCAAAAGGTCTTTGGATTGGTTTTCTGCAGGGTGCATGTCCTGTAAGCCCTAAACGTGGTTCCACTGAGAGGCAGCAGCTTAATGCATCTGAATGGGTGAAGTTAACTCTAGCTAGTTATTTGAAAACGAGTATATTGAAATATTCTATCATTACCTGAAATAAATTAATTCCCCCGTTACATAAGCAATTCAAAATTTGCTCTTTTAAAAGTAATCTGAGTGCATCCTGGAAGATTTTGTATTAATAGCAATCTCCACTATATTTCTGCTTCTTATTCTATTGAATTTCAAAATCAAAAGAGGTAACTGCTTAAGAAATGTCAATCTAGCATCCTGATGAAAAGTGTGCAATTGCTGCAAGGTCACATGACTGCGGAGAGACGATTTACCTAAATCCTCAGGAAAACTCAATTGGTTCCAGGAAGAAATTGCCACTAATTGAGGTTTAATCGAAGTGGCTATATAACCGGGCTTCACTGGTCTACTTCACTTCAGTAAAAAATTAAGAATGTGACCAGAAATGGAAAAAGAAAATTCTAAACAACATATATAAAATTACTTCTTAAAAATTCTTATAAAATATTTACTTTGTAAAACTTTACGAGATATTTTTATCATCTTTTCAATTGTACATATGATGTGAAAAGATTAGTGTTGATGAAAGATGGATTACTTCATTAAAGTGAGGATTATCATAACTGGTTTACATATACTATCTCCTCTGGACCTCTTTTATAGAGGTGTGTTTTTTTTTCTTTTTGGATTCCTTTTGTGGTTCTGGCAGACAAGATTAGAATTGTTGAATGCCGTAGACTTTTCTTCAGAAAAGCATTTTAGTTTTAATGTCGCTATGAAATATCAAAAGAAGCTTCATTTGGTAAATTATAAGAAGTTCATGAAATAAAAATCTTGTATCCCAAATCCCTCATTAATGATAATAATATTCAATATATATGATGATACTAAATATTAATGATACTAAATATTAATGATGCTAAATTATTAATGATACTAAATACAAGATATGTGTGCCCTATAAGTAATATGTTTGCCCTATTCCAGATGAAACTCCAGACCCTCCCCTTGAGAAAGTGTTTATTCGACAACATCCAAAGCCTGCAGCCCCAAAGAAAGTTATTAGGGGTATGTATTGCTATTTTACTCAAATTTGCGTAGATGAAATAATTTCTCAGAGTAGTATCATAAGGAATAAGTTTTGAAATTGATGTTAAGAGCAAAAACATTACATAGCTAGTTGTTTCTTCAAATTTTTTTCTACACTATATCCATGAATAAGTGTGCATGTTAAGAATACTCATTCATTGCCACAAAGGAATTAAATCTTCAAGTTACTTCCACACATTGTCATGATTGTATTGGCTGCCAGAAACCCCCAAGATGTGCATTTCCATCTTCATCTTGAATTTCAGTTTTTGCACAATTACTGCATCTTGTTTGTGGTTTGTATAGGGAGGAAAAGTAACGATACACAATTTTGAAACTCATGATGTTGTCATAGTGGGAACTATGTGAAGAAGTACTTTTCAGGTGCTTTATCTTCCATCGTTGCCAAATTAGTAGCAGTAGGTATTGGGCTGACACTTCACGTTGAGAAATTCAAGTGCTTAATAATAAACAATCCATCTAAATGGACAAACTCTAGACAAAGAGGAAGAACAAATGTCACGTTGAGAAACTCTAGACAAAGTGTGTGTTGCACTCTACCTGTATAACTTTATTGACACCCTATGATAGTATCATCACTACCCTCATCATCTTCACACATATTTTTCCCCCTCCTTCCGAGCTACAACACCTGACTTTCTAGGCCCCTCTGAAAGTTTTACACATTGAATTTGCGCTGTTCGTAGTCTTTCTTCTCCTGCCACCTAAGAACATTCCCTTCAGTGTCACCCGATTTTCTATCTGTCACGCACTTATTGATTGCCTCTGATTCTTCCTTCCCGGTAACAATTCTTTCGCAGTCTTTAACAGAATATTCTTGAAATTAGCATAATTTTCTGTTTGTGTGGTGGAGTTGAGAACTGCAAACTCGTACAACTCTGTCCCTCCATTTCGCGAGCGAAGTGCGCAATAGGGAAGTTTTTGCTAAGAAAATATTTTTAACATCATTTTCTTTTGTTGGATGTAGAATGCGTTTGCCTATAAATGTGATTTTTTCATTTCCATCTCTTGTAAAATGCAGTTTCGTACTCGCCACAGGCTTCGAACCGAAATTCCGCGCAGCCTCGTCCAACCCGCGCCGTGTAACAGAATCTCGACATTCATTTTCAAGTTACGTTTTCCTTGATGCAATACCATTCGTATGAGATTCTCTCATTACAGGCTTATTCAAAAATATGGGTCTGAATCGCCCGGCATATTCGCGGCGAATGCCGAGATTATGAGCGCGAATATAATTACGCGTCGTAGATTCGCGCGACATTTTAACCGTCTTTGCAGCTTGCACAATTGCAAGTTTCATTATACAGAAAGCCACTGTAAAACAAACCTTGCAGCATAATCTGCGAATAAAAGACCCCATACTTTTCGACTGAAATTCATCATCATTAATTTATCTATACATCTCATAGCTCCCAGACATTTAGATTACAAAAAATAATTGTATAAATAATAAGCAAATCCCAACCACGTGATTCTTTCAGCCTACAAAGAATCCTATAAAAGAGAGGAGCACTCAGACGTCCCCCGAAAAGCAACTAGCGCGAGTACAGGGGCGAAGACGAAGAGCAAGCCACCGCACAATCGTGAACATCGAGAAAAAAGCGGCTACGAAATTGAAAGCAACCCCGAAGAGCAATGATGGCGAAACCCGAGCAGAGACTCCTTTCTTAGTATCATTAGGAAGCGAGTTCGAGTAGCAAGAGGTCGACAGAAGAAAGAAGGAAAAACGTTCGAAAACGCGAAAAAAGTCGCCAAAGCCGGATACGTTAGCAATAAGGAAAAAATATGTAGCTTCTCCTATACAGATATATTGCGGAAAGTTAAAAGTGAAGCTGAGCTTAAGAATCTGGATTCAAGTGTCACTCATATCTGGAAGACAGCATGCAGCGATCTCCTACAACGTCGCAGATCCGCAGATAGCCAAACACTGGAGTTCCATTCTTCAGTAAAGAATATTTTTGGGTCGCATGCCGATGTGAGAACACTCGCCCATGAAGTGACCATTCAAGTGAAGAGCCTGGATGAGGTCACTACCAAAGAAGAAGTTCACAGTGCTTTGGTTGATTAATTTCTAGAAGCAAAGGATTTACCGGCGTGGTTAAATTCCTGAGACCAGGTACAGGGTAACAGCAATAGTTCGTTTCCCAGCCACCGTGGCCAACGCTCTGTTGGCTGTTGGAAATGTGAGAATATAATGGGTAAACTGCACATTGTGTGAGTGGAAAATCCCTTTGAGGTGTTTCAAATCCTTAGATTTTGGGCACATTAGCCGAGCATGCTAGAGGCTGTGTGATAGATGAAAGTTGTGCATGAATTGCGGTGAAGATGATCGCTTGCCAAAGACATGCATGAGGACCTAAAGTGCCTGCTGTGCGTACAAAGCGGCAAAGACATCATACATGCTACCGGGTGTACAAGGTGTCCTTCTTACCAAAGAGCCCTAAAGGCAATATTGGACAGACCATGAGGATCGTTCAACTAAATACGAACCATTGTGAAGTTCCTCAGGATATCCTGGCTCAGTCTGTGAGGGAATGGCATGTGGAAAATGTCCTTTTCAACAAGTAATGACACGAGATGAATTTGGCATCGTCTAGGTCAAAATAAATGGAATCTATATTTATTGCTAATACGCGTCACTATAACGCTACTTCTGATGATTTCGAGCAATTCCTTGGCCGTCTAGTTCGTGATGCCAGAGAACGCAGCACCCTCGTGATACCTGGGGACTTGAACGCGTGAGCTGTGGAGTGGGGTTGCTCGGCAACGAAGAAAAGAGGTCGAGCTGTGCGAGAGTCATTCTCTGTCTTGTACGTAGTGCTCGTGAACACCAGAGATACACGCAGCTTCCGCATATGTGTGGTGTAGGATCAGTGGCAGATATAACGTTTATGACAGATAGCTTCTTGAGAATGGGAGTATCCTGGAAAGTCAACGAACACTGCACACCCAACGACCATCAGGCTATTGTATACGAGTAATATCAAAGAAAGGGTTACGTTGGACCGGGATATAAGGTGAAGGGATGGAAAGCCAAAAAACATTCGACGAAGTATTCCGCCTTTGGAGAATGTTTTACCATCGGGGACGGCAGAGTTATCCAAATTATGAGCTGTGATGCATCTATGCCCAGAAGAGAAACCAACCACCGATGTTTACCAGTTTACTAGTGAAATGAAGACATCAACGCCTACGGTTGTGGTGGCTGAACCAACGAGCACGTGGCAAAGACACATTTGTTCAATTTCAAAAACAATATAAATTTGCCAGAAACAAGTCGAAGACTGCAGTCTGGGAAAGTAAAAGTCTTTGCTCTAAAGGTATGTGCGATGAAGTTGATGAAGATGTATGGGGTAGAATATACAAGACGGTCATGGGTATGGGTAAGTTTATAAAGTTACATACCCAGTCTCCAACCTGCCCAAACATTCTTCGGAGAATTTTATTCCCACACCACCCCGGCGAACCGACGAACACCATGCCACTTTATACGAAAAAGACACCAACTGTCACTACGGATGAACTCTTGCACGTAATCAGCTGAATTGGTAATACAACGGTTCCAAGGCCGGATAGTATCCCCAACGCCCTGAAGTCTGCGATATCCGCTCGTGGTGAAGTAATTCGCATACCTCTACAACACCTGTCTGAGAGATGGAAGAAGCAACTAGTACGTCTTCCGAAGGGGAAAAAAGCCTCCCAAAGAGCCGGCGACTTATCGGCCGATGAGCACGCTCGATACCGCGGGTAAGGTTTTCGAGCACAACATTAGCGCTTCATTGGAAGATGCAGTAGAATCCAGTACGGTTTTCGCAAGGCTCGTTCCATAATCGATGTTGTTAAGCTTGTCATTGACACTGCCCATCAGGCTATTAGAAGGAGCAGGTGGATGAGACGTCCTAAAAAGTATTGTGCAATCGTTACATTGGACATTAAGAATGCTTTTATCTCGGCAAGATGGCGTGACATTCCATCAAATCAGGTAAGACACCCCAAATCAATATCCCTACGTACCTGAGAAAATTAGTGTCTGAATATCTGAATTGACGAATTCTTGTGCACGTTTCTGACGGACAGAAGGTACAAATCACCGCCGGCGTCCCACAAGGTTCGGTACTGGGTCCTCGATGTGGAATATTAAATATGAAGAGGTTCTTAGACTCACTCGCAGAAGGTTCCGAGATCATAGGCTTCGCAGACATTGCCATCGTCGCCGCAAAATTTATAGGAGATGGAGTGTATTTGCAATTAAGCCATTGCCGTCATCAGTCGTTGGCTGGATTCCGCAGGGATGATCTCCATAGATATAATGGCCCGTGAACGTCAGATGCGTTATGACAAAAGAGGCAGGATGCAGCACGGCCCGGAACAATTGGCAATGGCAACAGCTATGCGACACGTCCTCCAAGGGAAGATGGACATACCGACTGATTCCTACAGTTGAATCGTGCATCAGACACAGCGGGGTAAATTTTTGCCTCACGCAGCTTTTAACGGGCACGGTTGCTTCAGAACATACCTGCACAGATTGCTGGATGATTCTCCACATTCGCACACTCCTGTGTGCGAACCTGATGTCGAGGACGCTGAATACGTGTTTTTTCAGTGCCCACGTTTCGCACTTCAACGACGAGTCGCTGCTGATATTCTTGGTGTAGGACAGAGGACTCCAGAAAACGCAGTTGCATGATTCTGAAAGCAATTGGAGGTCGGTGTGTAAATTTGCATATGACGTGTTGCTGAAATTGCGTCGCATAGAGAAAGAAAAGAGTTCTGTTCCCTCACTTGACTAACTTTATGTTCTGGGTCACTATTCCATTCTCCGCGATGTAATCCCTGTAGGCGATTCCGCGGAGAGGATGGAGGAGAAAGGAGGTTCGGTTTTAGTAAGTAAAAATCTCACATGCTGGGAAGTACGGGCTACCCATTTTCTTATGAAGATTTCCATCTACCGTCGTAAAAACACACGCAGAGATACAGACGCACGCAGAGCACACACAGACACACTTCTGCATTTATCACAAATTTGAAGTGTTCGCAGAAGCATGAAGCTGTAGTTTTGTCATTAGTCTTGTAAAATGAAAACAGAGCACTTCAAATTTGTGAGAAATGCAGTCTTAAAAATCTGTTATTACTGAAAGTAAACATACCTATTTTTTATGGTTTTTAATTTTAAATTTTTTTATAACATTATTTTGTGAACTGATGTTTATAATAATGAATTGTAGGATATATATAGTATATTGAAGTCTATTAATTGAATTGTCATGTACATTTTTATTATAAAATAACTTAAATACACATTTTCTTTTCCAGAAATCTCACCTGGTCAACAAACTTTACAGTTGTTACAAGCACATGGTATCACAATGTTACCTGCTGATGAATCAACCCTTGTTGCTTCAGCTGTGGAGAGTGGTCAGACTGTAGTGTTAACAGGTAATTTGATTTTCTGCACCATGTCCAAACTAAGAGTATTTCTATGGATTCAAAAAACAGGAAGTAAATAGTAGTCAAAATAAAATTATGCGCTTCAGTTCTGAAGGCAACAAAAGAAAATTAATTGGTATCGTCATGTGCATTATTGTTTTACATATAGTGTGATAGAATGTAGAAGTATACATACTTCTACATTCTAACACACTATATCCCTTCTCTTTCATGACTCGTGGCACATTCACGCTTGTATGCATTTCCTTTCTAACAGAAACTGCAACTAGTAGGACTATCTGAAATGGTTCTGCTGTTGCCTTTGCAACGTTTCTGATAGGGAGGTTTAAGGTCCCTAGGGTGATGGATTTTCAATGCTAGTGAGATAGGTCAATTCAACTGCTATCTGGCGAATATTTGTATAAGCTTGGTACTGAGTACTTTGTATGAGCTTGGTAGTTTTCCTTTGGTGCTCTGATCAATGAGGCAAAGTGGTGCCTTTACAAATGGCCACAGGCAATGCACAATGTTTCTGTACTCATTCTTGTCTCCTCCTTTCCCTTTACACATATGTACTCACAAACAAGACATGTCAGTCTGAGAGTTTAGAGCTTGTTCCAGCTGTGATAATGGCCTGCTGGAGAAGGGAAACTGTGCAAGCTGACATGACAGTTGGTACTGGATGTTACCAAATGTCACATTCCAGAGGGAGAGAAACATGGTCTCTTCCCAAGAAATGGAAATAATAATAATAATAATAATAATAATAATAATAATAATAATAATAATAATAATAATAATAATAATAATAATGTATTGTTTATTATTATTAACTTGATTGGCCACATTGGACCACTTGAGTCATTCCACTTCACTTTTTACTGTTCATGCTCGACTGTCGAAGGTATCACCTTGAGGTGAGGATAAATCGAGTTACAATTCCGAATGTTATTCAGAAAGGTGATAATGAGAGATGGAGGATGATGGATGATAGGGGGTGAAAGGACGAACACAATACAACCATGCCCGAGGTGGGGCTCGAACCCGCAATCTCGGCCACCGGTTCGGCTGTATTGTTAATAATAATAATAATAATAATAATAACAATAATAACAACAACAATATCTTTATTGATATAGCCAAGTTACAACTGCACTACATTTATAGTACTACTTACCATAGCAGTTGATTTGCGTGGGAACACAGGCCTGCGATGAAAACACGTTTTTGAACATTTTAACTGTTCCTTATGTATTTTTGTGTGCTGAAATCGAAAATGTTACTAGAAATGCTCCATTACCCACAGTTTTTTCACAAATTGATCTCAATTGTGTAGTAAGTCACGGCTGCTTTCTGTATTTAGCATACAGGTTAGTGATGCCATCTATGAACTCGTGATAGCATTTGCTGTTTTCCTCAAGGCATCAATATATACCTTTTCATTGATGCCGTCTATAAACTGCTGGTACAATTTCTGCAGTTTTCCCTCCACATGGTAGTATGTACCTGTTTGTAAATGAATGACTGGAGACTTTTCATGGATTCATAAAAAGAAGTTTAAAAACAGTGCTATTACACACAGGCAACAAGTATGATTCAATATCTACGGGGGAATTCAATTCACCTGAAAGAAACTTACAAAAATCTTGCACTGATCCTTACTATAAAATACAGTACGACAATCACAACTAGGTGATATGTAGAGACCTGAAGATTTTGTGCATGCTCCTTGAACAGTCCGGGAATATAAAGTTTCCTTGTTTCCTATGTGAACGGGACAACCGTGCAAGTATGAACCCCTGGAACCAATTGGAATGGCTCACATGTACTACTACAGAACCACGAAATAAGAATATTTTAAAGAAAGGTCTCATTAAAAGAGCCTAGAATTCTTTTTAAAGAGTGGTTAAGAACTTCTTAGGAAACAAGAAAGGCCCAGGTTACGCAATCAATGTTAAAAATATGTTGCAGAATTTTAAGGATTTGGAATGTTGGATGTGCTTCAAGATTCACTTCCTGCATGCTTTGGATTTCTTTCCTAAAAATCATGGTGCAATGAGCGAGGAGCAAGGATAGCATTTCCACAAAGGTATTAACATGATGGAAAAAGGATATCAGGGTCAATAGAATGTGAATATGACAGGCAATTATTCCTGGATGCTCTATTAGGTCACGGAGCAAAAATATGAGGAAGAGTAATTCAGAGCTTCACACAGAAAAGGAAAAGATATTACAAGACTTAAATAATGTTTTTAGAAATAAAAATCTATTAAATAGTTTGTATAATAAATATTATGTGTATTATTTGCTAGAAAAAGTGTTTTATTGTTCATATACCCTTAATAAAAATGATAATGTAATGTTGGTTAGCTAAAAAACTTCATAGTATGTTGTGAAAAAATGGTGTTTGACTGTATAAAACTGAGCTCAGATATGAAATCAGCACCTCAAAAAACTATATCTTTTGTATAAATTTAAATAAAACAAAGCTTTTATGACCTTGAAGTTGGCAGGCCAGTGTAATCAATCAAATGACTGTCAGGGAGAAACCTACAAACATATGTTCTGATAAAAATTTCTAGCTACTTGACACCTGGGAGTAAGAGAATGCAGTATTGCCACATGTTCATCATCAATTGTACTGAATGAGGGTTATTCTTTCTTCCAAATTGCACTACCCTCATAGTAATAGTAATAGAAATGTTAAACTTAAATTTTGTTTATAGTGTTGAGTTCTGCTACACAAATAATATGAATTGTTATGCTACTTGTATTAAATTCTGAAGCATAATGGACTTAGTAGTTTTGATGGGTGTAAATTTCCCCTTTTTTCTCCAATGTTGTCCTTGGGTCAATATTCTCTGCAATGCCAGAAATCTGTCGAGTGCCTTTACCACTGGGCCCGTCAATCATTGCTTCTCACTTACGCTCCTCCCGCCGAATAGCGTGGTTTCACAACTGTTGTGACCCTTCTGAAGACTACCAATATTATTGAATTTAATTTTTGTCTCAAAAAAAATGTTATTGAAGAAAATATGATAAAAGATTAGTGCATATCACAAAATGCTCTGTGTGGTTGTGGCTTTAAGGACTAATCATAAGTGCTTTCTTCGATAAGTCTGCATGTATTAATTTCAGAAATACAGAATATTTTGCATTTTCATCCAGCATTTGCATTTTAATTAAGATTCTGTAATTATGATTTTCAGAAACGTTTTCCTTTCTGGTCCTTAATGTTTATTTTTAACGCTACATAAATAAGCATGTTGAGATGTATCACTATTATCTGGAGACTTAAACTCGCTCATCTATTGAAAAATCAGGTATGCAGGACAAATTTACATCTTCTGTATTCACAGCCATCCTGGCAATGTTCTAAACACTGTGAAACTAAATTATGCAAGATCGTTGAGGTAAGAATGTTACCAAAAGAAAAAGGGCGAATTCTGTATTTCGAACACCTCTCATATGCCATCTATTGGAGTTAGTGCAGTACAATCTGGAGGGATGGTAGAAAGTTACCTAAAGAATGTTTTGAAATATTTTACGTCTAAATGCCATAATTTGAATGTTGCCCTTCTTTCAGCCAACCTCTTAATTGTAACTATTGTGACCTCAAGAAGAGAAATAACGTTTCTTTGTGGAATTAGGCACACATTGCCTTTCAAAGTAGAGATAAGTGCTCAAATGTTGTATCAGTCTAGTAAATTGCTGTTTTGTTTCATTTTCAGAAGCTGGACGGTTAGCATTAGGATTAACTCAGGCAGAGAAAAGTCCAGGTCCTAAATCAACTCCTACAACGAGTATAAGCCCACGTCCTCTGGCACCATCTCCTAAGAAGAAAGTGATTACTATACGTGCTGGACCTCTGTTCATGCCTGGAAATAAGACTGCCAACATTCTCAAGCGACCCCTCTCGTCAAGTGATAGAATCATTTCTGCTCCCTCAAAAGTGGTGGTCAAGGCAGCACCACGTACATTCACAGTGACCTCTCCAGTTAAGAAGCAGGTACTGTTTCAGTAAATGCTGTAAAGAATAATGTGACTAGTGTTCTTAAGAGAAAAGCATTCACCAAGAGCAAAACTTCATCATATTTCTGGGCATTTCTATGACTTCTAATTGTAATTTCCATTGGTTTCTTTCATTTCACATTCGTATGACAAACTGCTTTGAATTACTTAATGCTGAGGTGCTTGTTTGCTTTCCTCTGGAATAGTATATGAAAAGTTTCCCCTTATAGTTTGTTCGATAGTAAGTTAGGTTGGTAAGTAAGATGAAAAGAAGATTCGCAATAATTTCACAAATTTTGGCCAACGTGGGGGGATTGTGATGCTCCCTATTATTTTTGTCATTTTGCCACATGGGAAATGTTTCTCTGAAAGCAAATTTCTTATTTTGCTAGAATTCAAGAAGAGTGCACATCAGAATTTAAATATTAGTTTCTTGGATTATTCTTTGATTAAAAATTGATGCATCGTACTACTGAAAGTGTGATGAAATTGAACAGAGCAGATCTTTAATCTTGGCCATTGAGGACTGTCTGACCTCTTCAAGGTGCACTGCATCACTTTGAGTTTATCATGGAATTTATTTTAATATTTTCATAAGCTTTCTGGCATAATTTGAATCAAATCATAAAATATTCTTTTGAGTGACAATATTGGTACCAACTAAATTACTTGTGAAAACTATTCCTAATCTCCAACTGCACTCACTGAATTGACACTTCCGTGGTATTACCTGGTGCTCCAGGTCAGCTGACTGGCAATACAATACATTTCATGAAATTTGTCTTCGGTCAGAGGCGTAGTTGGAGGTGGGGGCCTAGATGAAACCATGTTAGGGGTGACACCAATTAGAAAATTTTATACTTGGAGTTATATTATTATTTATTTAAAAATTTATTTCAATTAATCTGAATTACATACAGTTTTTTAATATATTATAAATAAATATCATGTGCAAATATACTTGTATTTTATTAAATAATGTATAAACTATTCAGTAATAGACATTTTATATTTAATTTTTGGTGGGGGGTGATGCCATTAGTTTTGCTCCAGGTGGCACACCAATCTCAACTGCGCCACTGTCTTTGGTCAATGCTCTGCTGTTTTACAACTCATCAAAATAATTGTTCAGTGGCCTGATCTTGGTCTCTAATCTCAAAAGTTTCATGAGGTTCATTTTTAAAGTTTATTTTGTTCATTTTTAAATAGTTTTCAATAACATGATTTGTGTGTTTTAGTTCTGTACTTATCATTGATAACGTTGTTTTTGTTACAGAGTCCTCCTACAGCTGTTCCAATTGCAACAACTGAACCTTCCGCCAGTGAATTAGCTCAACAACTAGAAGCTGCTCGGCGTGAAGTACAAACATACAAGGAACTTTTAAGTCGGAAAGAACGTGAAGCAGAACAATATCGATTACAATTGCAGTCAATAACACAACGCAAATGATGTCCACTGCCCACAGCCTATGGCCTGGCTGATTTGCCATAATTATATGGGTGAAAGTGTAGTTTTGAATCGCCAAAATTTTTAATTTATTTGGAAGTGGTACATTGCCTTCTATCTTAAAGTAAGAATTAGGAATGTGTTACAGCCCTTCATTTATTACAGCTTTTATGTCTATGAAGATTTGGTTCAATAAGTCTTAGTGTTTTGAAGATTTGGTTCAATAAGTCTTAGATTTCCATGTGCCATACATTAGTTTTTCTTCCAATTTGTTATTCTGACTTAAGTATTCATTTTACCTATATGTTTCAATTTACATGTCAGACATGAAAAAGAGTTCCAAAAAAAAGTAAGATTTAATTTAAATTATATCCTTGGTACTATGGATTTATGTAGTTATTTTCATTTCCCTCATACACAACGTTAATTGTAATATTGTGTTGAAAATGTACTTTAACAATAGTAAATTTTTCACGGCCAAAATCATTGAAAGAAAGCATACCGTTTCACTTCTTTAAGAACATTCAGTAACACTATTTATTTTTTTAACTTATGCTAGCATTGTATCACTTTTGAGCTATTAAAAAATGGTGTTGCAAAACTACTTCTATTCCGTTCTGGTTTAACAATGTGATAAAGAGACTTTGAGTTCTTGTCAAATGTTTATATTTAAAGGTGTTTTTGTGTGTCACAAACCACTTTTCTTATTCTTGTAATATTGTTTTTATGTTAAAATATTCCTGCCTAGTTTTGCTTTTTTGAAAGAGCATTGTACATTTCATAAAGTAAATACTAAGTGTGAAATTGTGTGAAAGTTATGTAAATTGAGTGTAATGGTTGTGCAAGGTCATGTTTGAATGAAGTGTAAATAAATATGAATGGAGAAGAGTATGTTTAACTGTGTTTATAAAAATCACGATTATACCCCCCTCTCCCGCCCACAAAATCCCGAATGCGTAATTTTTGTCACAATGGTTAATTTCGTTACGGCGCTAAAATATTTGGAAGAGGGCCATGGGGAAAATCGGTAGATCCGATAAAGAAACTACGCAGGTGGATACTGCGCATATAAGCACCCTCTTTTGTCCCCGCTATGATGCTAAAGCTAGTCGAGGGAAACTTCAGAACTTGGACTAGTTTTATGACTGTTTACCAACAATAATTGTATCGATCTGAAAATATTTAAGGGAATAATAATGAATTTTGTGTAGATGGTGCATCATTATAATTATATTGAAAATTTCACTCACGAATAACGTAGTGTTATCGCGCAGGTCTGGTTTTTCTACAAAAAAAAGTACGCCATATTGCCTGACGGAATAGCAGTGTTTATATCAGATGTTTTTTGGAATGTGGTGTGAACGTGCTCTATTGGAGCCTAGTTAACCGATTCTCAGGGCTTATCGCAAAGATCTACCTTCATGCAGCTCAATTTTGTTCCTGTTATCAAGGATACGTGGAGTTCTATGCAATGAAAATGTTACAGTGATTGCTTTGTTACGAAAGGTGGAATCGAACTTCGTTAATCAAAACACATTTTCATACAAATTTGTCGTGTGCAAGAAGTGAGCGGTTGTTGTGAAAGCATGTTTAAGGTTTAGTAGTCATAAAAGACGGTGAAGGGGAAGGAGGAGAAGCATCGAAGTTCGTATGTCTGAAGGACATGCACGCCTCTTCGTATGACAACGTGTTTTGCAGATGTGATTCGGGAGTAGGGCATGTTGGAGCGAACAGTATTAGTACAAACTTCAAATACCGTCTTCACCGAACCTCATGCAAAAATCTAAACCACACGGTTCCGCAGATTTTTTAGATTGGATTTATATGTATGGGGCCTAAGGATGTTGTTTTGGTCGGTACTAGGCCTAGTTTGAGTACAAATCTTATTGCCTCTTATAATTCAGGATAACTTGTGCCAAAGCCTAATATTTATCGGGCTTCTAAAAAACGTGTTTTGTTTAGAGGAATAATTCACTTTCATTAGCGTATACAGATTTTTCCTAAAATGGTCATGACTCACTTTTGAAAGGTTACTGTTTCAATACCGTTCCAATGTTTCCCTGGACCCAGTTGATATTGCTGCCATTTCTTCTCAATCTCTGTTATGGTGAGTATAGAAATTGAAAACTTACTAAAACTGCATGAAAAGCTTCATATTATTCTCATAACCTGTGATGAAAACACCTGTACAATTTGGAAATATGAGTTATTTTCAAACTACAATACACACATTTGTGCATATTTTCTTTTATGTTATCTGCCTAATACAAACTTTTCATTCATATTCTCGTATTTATAATCAGATGACAGATTGTTGACATTCCAGCTATGACATACGGAGCATGTCTCTAAAATAAAACTACATGTATGTTGTGTAGGCCAAAAATAATAATTATATGCACGGTAATCTTCATACATTTGGAATATAGCTTAAAAATTCAATAAAAGTTCTCAAATTTTGTAATTTAGCCAAGAATTTGTATGTACTGTTATCAAAGAACTTTTATTTTAGATTAGTTTGTGTAGAATTTGTTTAAACCTTCATTAATATTGATTCTTTATCTCTTATTCCTGTAATGAAATATATTTATATTTGTGACCAGTATTGTTCTCAAAGAATCAGATTTAACCCTGTTTATGTGTTAAAAGAATAATTTTAGTATTCCTACAGCTATATTGTTTTTGTGTTGTAATATCTATTTATTTTTTAATGGGTTTGGAATATAAAGTTTTATTTAAAAGAATGTCAGATGTTTTTATTTTATTCAAATCTGAAGATTTTCACTGGTTAGAAGTTGTCAGTGTCAGGAATGCATTAAACAGTAAGATAGATGTCAAACTCCTTTCCTTTGAGGGCTACATTTCTTAGAAAGTGAATAAAAGTGAACTGTATAAAATATATTTATTTTGTTACTCTGTTCATTTTCAAATTTAGAATTGTTGTAAAAGTTGGATTGAACATATCAAATCAATGTAATAATTGTAACATTCACTTTGTTCATCAATTTTCTACCTTGCAAAATTGTAAAGTTGCTAAGCTAATCAATATAACGGTTAAATTCAATTAAATAGTAAGATGATATTTTTTACTACTTGGTTTTAATAAAAAATCAATCTTTTGAATTTTTTGCCTGATTTATGTGATTGTTCCTGTTTTCACAAAATTGTGAAGATTTTTGACAATTAAAATATTTTATTTGGTTACTTAAATGACTGTAAGCTACAAAAATACATAACAAAATCTGAATGCAACCTCCAGTTTATATCCCTTAAACAAAGTAGAGGATATTTCCTAATAAAAGTGAAAAATAACTTATCCTGGTATTAGATGGTGCAAATATTATCTGAGGGTTAAAGAGGGACAGAACAAAATGCTGGTCATATTTCCACTTTCTGGTTAGATCTCGAAGTGCCACTTTTTCTCCAGACTCTGGAGTGGTACTCAAAATATAATAACAATAATGTTACGTTAAACTTAGTGTTTGGATGTGTTGGATATTACAGTAGGCATAGGATTTAGTTTTGTGTAATAAATTTATTTAAAAAGTAGAGCAGAATGTAGATTCACTGTGGTTTCATTTTCATTCTGTCAAGTTCTTGTATTAAAACCTTGACTTTTGGTGTATGGTATTAAACCATTAACTTCTGTTTATGAAATGTATTTACAATGTATTTTCTGTACAAAAATCCTATAAATATCCCTTATACGCCAATAGATAGAGTGGATATAATAGTTAATTCTCGTATATTCTTAGGAGCAGAGCTTGATTTATAAAATTTTATGTCTCAGAACGCACCTTAAACTACTTATTACTTTAATAGTAATAGTTATATATTTATGGTATAATTTTAACAGTTAACTAATGGTACCAGAACACATTCCACCAGAAATCAAGCCCTCTGTAGGGCAACCCTTTTAATTTATATTTTCAGAAAAGTTATTTTTATTAATTTCTCCTTTTTGAAAACTTAATTTTTGCCCTCTTAATTAAAAATGAAAACGAACATATATGAATGTAAAAATAGGGTGTATATATATTTTTTGTTTATAATTGTCCTAGGTGTGGGGGCAAGTGTCCCGAGCACTACACAATGTGAATTCTACAACCATACTGCCTGTACAAGTGCAAACAAGGAAAGTTGCTTTTCGGTACAGATATGTGATCGACCTGAACCTGAAAAACGGAATCATTGTTATGTGCTCTGGCAGAACAACAGCACTGGCAAACCATACATCAAGCTGAAGGTAAGTTTTAAAAGTTGTACATTTTTAATATTAAAAATTTAATTGAAATTAGCTTAGAATAAATTCATGATAAATTTGATAGTGATATTAGAATTATGAAGAAAAGGAAATCAGATAGTAAAAGAGCTTTGAAAGTAATATGATCATGTTAATTATCTGTCATTGTATTGCATTAGAATAATATTCTCTAATAGTATAATGAAATCCATTACACCCAAGATGCATATATTTCCCTACTTGAATATTTTATTGCATTTTAATAATTCCTTAAGTATTAAATAGTTTTTAACTTTACAAACACATTTTTAGTTTAAGTTTTGTAAATATACATGTTAACTTGTTTTCTATTGTTACTTATTGAATTGTGTGATTTGTAGTTATCATAAATGAAATTGTACCAAATATCTATGGTTGTGGTTCTCTCTTGATTTTTAATTGATCCAATTGTGCTATTGCCAATATTCACTTTTGTACAATTGTTTTTTGTTTTTTCTTAAGTACATACACCATCTTCACCTCTACCACAGTGTTGTAATATATAAAAATAAGTAGGGCCCCAACTCTCTGATAAAAAGAAAATTAATTTTATTAATTAAATGGTACAGTATTACAAATTGTATTACTTTACTCTGCCTCTATCCTTTTAATACTCTTTTTCTGTGTATTATCCTAGAAAAATTTTGATCATCAATTCAGAAAATTCTCAGCATGTTTTCAAGTTTTAATGCATGATTAAAAATAATTGGAATGTCTCTTTCTACAGGGGTGCTTTCTGGACAATATTGATTGTTACAACAAACGGGAATGTGTAGAGAGCCGAGAGCCTAAAAAAGAACTTCTATTCTGCTGCTGCGAAGGGAACATGTGCAATAGCAACTTCACCTGGAAGCCTCGTCTGCTACCTCCTGTACCTACAGGTTAGTTGCAGAATGTTCATTTTGTGATTCATAGTAGGTATTGAAGAAGACAGGGTCAGTGTGCTGAGGAACTTTGTTCCACAAATGAACAGGATTCTTGCTTGATGGATTCTGAGGAAAGAAGCAGAATTCATTTTATAATTTGAAGGAAAATATGAAATTGTTTTAAAATGACAATTGTAAAGTTTGTCTGAATTAATTACTTAATTAGTGTTTGAAACAAATTTTAATTTATTCTTTGTAGGGTGTTCTAACATTAACTCTTAGGGGAACAATGAAAGTTCAAGAGTGCGTATTTCTCTTAAATAAACCCAGATGAAAATCATAACTGTTTGTGACGATTTTTATTGCTTTATGGGTTATTATAATGTCTGTGTTTTAATTTGGAGATTTAACTATGATGAATTTTTATACCTTTGAAGAAAACAAAAATTCTGCATTCTTGACATCTGTTTTCAGTTCATTTCAGTGAACATCAATAGTCAAGGATAGTGTGAAAATGGCATAATTCTGCAATATGTTATAAACAAGTGTATGAATATTTGCTTACACTGAAAGAAAAGTCAGTTAATACTACCAACATATTTATTAGGTATGAGGCATATATCAGTATTACAAGTTTGTTTTTCACAATTTTTAGATACGTATCATTTTCAGGATTTTAGTTTTGTATTATGTTGATTAAAATTGAGTAAAGATTTAAAATAATTGTAATTAGTAGCCACAGTTAGATTGAACACAGTGTTAGCTAAGAGATCAGAGTTGAAACAACTAAGAAGATTCATTTGCAGCAGATACGTGTCGATGTATTTCCCCTCTTAACTCACAGCTTGACTAACAAATTTTTAGGGCATGTCGGGATCACTTTTTAATAAAATTTATTGTGAGTATGCTGTACAACCATAGCTTATATAGAGATTCCAAAGAGTGTAATTTTTCTTCTCATTTCATTACTCTCAATTATGACAAAGTACACATACATTTTCACAAGTGGAAAATAAACACGACTTATTATATGCAAGACTTCAACCATAGCTACGCAGGGATGTTTCTACTGAAAACAATTTATTTTGGGGGGTAATGGTGCACTGTGCTTGAAGTTTCCACTAATTCATTAAAGTTAAAAAAAAAATTAAAAAAAAAACACATGTTTACTGTCTTTTCTCTTTAAGGAAGACAAGTAGAAGAAGGGAAATAGGGAGAGAGGAAAGATAGAGAGGTTTTACATCTTTGTTTTATTCCTCAACTATTTTTCTGCATCAACTTATTTGCTTTTTCAGATTTACCTTTTTCCTTTCCCACCCTAATTTCTCCTCTTGGACTTTTTGTTATCTTTCTTCTTTTATTCTTTACTTACCTATCTCCTCTCTATCACATTGCCATCTTTTTATCTCCCTCAATCTCATATCTACTTTTCTCTTCCCTTCTTTCTTTGTACCTCTCCTTATTCCTTCCATTATTCTCCAGCTCTTTGGCCCTTCTTTCTCTTCTTCCCGTTGACCTCCTCTTTGTCCTGTTCTATTATTTTTCATTTTTCCCTTGTTTTCCTCTCAATATTTCATCCTTATGACCTTCACTCTTTCTTCTCCTTTTCAACCTTGTTTTCATTTCCTTTTCTTAGTATTGATCTTTCTCATGTACTTCTTCTTTTTGGCAGACTTCGTGTAGGGGAAGAAATGAAATTGGCCAAGCGGTTAATATTCCTAAGTTCTGACATTACGAAAAACCTTAGTTTACACTGTGGTTCTAAAGATTTAATGAAAGATAGGGATAGATTCACATATTCTCGTTGCATTAAATGTTAATTTTCTTGAGCGCCATTGAATGGTAGGGAAAGTGCTTAAAATCATGTAATGGTGACAGAATTGTGAGCATTTTTGCTCACTTAAGAAGCCTTAAAATTGGAATGATTTGCTCTGAATGAAATACTGTTTAAAGTGAATAAAATAGTGTTTAAGAATGTTAGAGACCTAGAGCACATTTGTGAAGAGGTAGTTTTTTGGTTTAGTTCAATCAGATACCGCTTGTAGCAGCTTGTCTTCACATTGTATGAAGATTGGACAAAAGGCACTAAATAACTGTTCTTGTACCTATGTTTGCTGTAAAACTTTGTTTTCTCTCCTTCAAAATTTAATATAATAGAAAATAAGAATTGCTAAAAGTAATCAAATAGTCTGAAGTTAATGGGGAAAACCTGAATTAAAAATATTAAATATTTCAAAATTGCAGGTGAAATGCTTATATATGTTTTCAATGTAACTTGCTCATCTCAAAGATCTTTTACATGGCTACAAAATTGAAAATTAAGGAAATGATTATTACTTAGGTGTTCCTGCCGAGCCACGTTCTGGACCTAATGTGGTGTTCTATATAGTGCTGCCGATGCTGGTAGTGGTGGTTGCAGTTAGCATTATATATTTCATATATCGTCAACGCAAACATGCCTACTTCAATGAGGTAAGAACAGCATGTTGAATTGATTACTAGTCCTTATATTATTTTATATTACAGTAACGTTAATGCGTATTAAACATTTGTTATGAATTGTAAAGGAAAAATTATTAGTTTCTAACATTCCTGCCCCAGTTATGTTCATAATAAAATTGTCTTCCTTCAGTTGTATAAAATTTTCTAGAAAATAAATATGTTAGTGTTTTCAGTAATGGACTAAATGTCATATCGTTTATGAAACCAAGTAATGATTGTCTACTTGGTATGTTGTAGGACAGCGGTATCCTCATGATATTTAAAGGCAATTAATTTTGAAACAAATATTTTATTATGATCAAATACAATTTTAATAAAATATTTCTATTTTAAAATGAATGAGTGTTTTAGTTGTTTTTAAGTATCCTGAGGATACCTCTGTCCTATACTACACCCTTTAAATTGGTAACAATCATTTTCCTTCATGCAGGGTCTAATGCATAATTGACAAGCGGAAGTGTGTGATGCAACATTTGAAAAATATTTCAAATATAGAACCAAATGGCAATGTGTCTTATTGTGCTCTGATTTGTAATACTTGATGCACAACTTATGTCAGGGTTAGATTTGGTTCTCTTGCGAATAATTTTACAAATATTATCCCACATTAATTTTACAATTGTTGTTTCTTTCTTAGTATGATATGCATAAACTAGAAAAAGTTGTCTATTTTAAGTGCATACTTCCTTTCTTTTTTTTTTAAGTTGAGGAAAATCCGAGTTCAAGTTTGATTTTCTGATGTATTTCCAAATTATGTCAATGCAATTGATTGAAAGCAAATTATTGAACATTATTGCTGTGTTAAGCAGGTGTAACGGTGATGGTTTAAAAGAACGTGTGATTTTAGTTAGCATCTGTTTCGGAAAATGTTCCGTATTTACCCCCAATGCAAGACAAATATTATTTCCAGTTTTTATCCTATATCAATCGATGGTTGTTTTATTTTTGTGCTTCAAGAAAAATGTTTGGCACAATTTTACTTACTGCGTGGCTGAAGAGAGCAACCCTCCAAATACAAAATTGAAGGTTCCAAATGTCTCAATTTGTAAATTTTAGCAATCACTGAAAGCCGACTGTTAAGTGGGTCACGTGTTGCAAATTGTATTTACACCTGATTCAAAAAATACTTTCATCCTTTTTTTTCCCTAGCCCTTATTTCTTGAATTAAATAAGTGTCTTCCTTCAAAATAGGGTAAAAATGTATGTACCGTATTTACCCTAATATAAGTAGACTCTGAATATAAGACAACCCCCTAATTGTGAAAAGGGCTCCTGAGAATTTTTTAAATTTTTAACTAATTCTTACTATTTAGTCAAAATTATATTGTCTAATTGACCAGAAAATTGCTTTCTTGATGAGAATATTAAGGCTTATTGCTGAACTATCATTTTCTTGTTCTTTAAAATTATAATCATGGTTTTTGTCACTACCCTCATCATCTTCACATGTATCAATGTTTCTTTCTTTTTGGTCCTCCTTCCATGCTGCAACATCTGACTTTTTAGGTCCCTCTGAAAGTTTTGCAGACTAATTTGGTGGTGTTCATAGTCTTTATCAGACACCACCTAAGAATATTTGTTTCTATCTGTCGTGCACTTGTTGATGTCCTCTGTTTCTCTGTGTTCAAAATGCAGAATCATATTCGCTGGGCATCGAACAGAGATTTCGCACATCCTCATCAGATCCGTATCATGTAACAAAAACTCTGCATTCATTTTTACATTATGTTTCATTTTATGCAATGCTGTTCATGTTATATTTTTAATGTCTTCACAGATTATTGAAATGTCAACATTTACACGTTTTGTGATATAGAATGGCAATCTTAAAACTTCATTGTGTTCGGTCCTGACCCAGGAACCATTTTGGTAATAAAATTTTCAAGAATATTCCGGTGCTCTTCATTTGTTTATAGAAGATTTCTTTTCCTGCTACTGTATAGTCTGATGAAATAGATTTGCAACAATTCATATTAAAAAAATTGAAAAGTTTGAATATCTAGAATGTAGATAATTGACTCCAGCTGCAGAAGACTATTTGTACATAATTTATAAATAATATGGATGTGATTTTTTTCTTTTCATTTAAATTGTTGGGAACTAATTTCCTGTTTTAGAAACATCTTATACTATTTAGGTAATATGGTGCATTATTCCCTCATATGTATTACCATCCTCATTAATAAGAGGCAAATTAAATGACTCATAATAAGGAACACATTAACGAACAATTACTAATAAGACAGATTGTAATCATATTCTGCAAAATAATATTTTATAATCATATAATGAATTAAAACAGTATTTTACATTATTATAGACACCTTACCATATTTGTACGTTGAATGCGTATAATGTTTGTGACTCACATTTGCAGTAGCCTGCCACACATTTTTTTTTACCACTTCCACTGTCAACGCCATGTTATTAATAATGCAGTATTGTGATAGCCTGTCGTAAGCCTGGTCCCCATTCAGAAAGGAATTCTAATTACATGAGAGTATAATAGGTGTATTTTATGTTAATTTTGTAACATGAATCAACCCTTAAAATCAACATTCAAATTCCAGTATTAATGAGACATTAAACTCAAGGATAGAGTTCTCAGGGGGTAGTTAATCTTCATAATTGGATTTCAAAGGGTTTTGGGAAGCTGGGAATACTCTGACATAAAAACATATGTTCGAGTTGTGCAGTGTCCCAAGAGAAATAGGAGATTGCCGATGCCCCATCCAGAAGAAAAGGACAGGCATGCGATACTCTCCCACAGTGATGTGAAGTAAATGAATAGAAAGAGTTCATCCAAGTTCTTGTTGAAATTAAAACAGCATTTTGTCTGTATTTCAGTCTAAAAGAGCATATTGAAAGCCAAAATTGAATATGAGTATTTGATTGACATTATCCCTCTTTTTAGGGGCTTTCTTTTAATTGAAGGCGCTATAAGTGACTTCGTATAATTGGTGCTGGATTTTTTAATTGCTTCTTACTTGGATGTGAACTTCTTACAATGAAACTGCACAATTTCAGGTGTAGCTATACACATTTGCAAAGTTTGTTTTGTAGTTGTTGTTTGTTGTTTTTGTTTTTTTCACAATGAATTTTAATGTAAGAGGTATTTGTTTTGAATTATCTCTATTCATTTATTTACACTGCTTTGCTTTGCTTCTAACCACTGACCTTTGCTGCTCTCACATGCTTTCTGATGTTTTGAACTCACAGTGGGTAAGTTTCTTATTCTTGTGTGTTAAATGGTATATGATAGAATGTTAATAATCTGAATTAATTGGGTTATTGAATTGTTTATTTGTAATGCACTAATAAAAGAGCCAGTCTTGAACATTAACAAACAACAAATTGCCAAAATTATTAATAATTCACTCCGATTTCTACAGAAGTGGTGTAGATAAATAACTCGTAATGTAGTAAAATTTTAGTTTTTAATTACAGAAAAAGTGCTGTAGTGTAAGTATATGCGCTTTTTCGTTATTTTGTTGTCAGAATTGGATATGGATTACTCTTTATTCAAATTATTAACACTGCTGTATTAGTATTTCTTTTTTTTAACGAAATTGTTTTTTATGTTTGTGAATATTTTTGGAGGTACTTACTACTTGTTGAGTAATGACACAAAGCAAATGTGCAGTTAACAGGTGCTAATTTTATTTGTAAATTTTTGTGTAGATGACGTAAATTTGTAAGTCATTTCTCAGTTTATGGTCATTAAAATGTTATTGTTAAAATGGAAAAAATGTTTGGTTTGGCAGGTTCCAACAGTTGAGCCACACCCATTGCCACAGCGCTCTCCTGTACTGGGGCTCCGTCCCATACAGCTGTTAGAGATGAAGGCTCGTGGGCGATTTGGGGCTGTTTATAAAGCTCAGTACAAGACGGAAACTGTGGCTGTCAAGATCTTCCCAATTCAGGTGATTACAGAAAATTATTTTGAATATCAAATCTGTAAAAGTAATTTTCTTAATTTTGTTTCTATGTTGTAAGCGTATATAGCTGAGAAAATGTCAAAATAGTTGTTGAAATAAAAAGGGTAGTAGAAGTTTTTTTAAAATTTATTGACAATTAGAGCTAGATGGTTTCAAACATGTGTTTATTAAGAGGAGTTCAAGAGAGAAATTGTATCTTCTGTTTGCGTAGGATAAACAATCATGGGTATCAGAATATGAGATCTTCAGTCTGCCACATATGGATCACGAGAACATTTTACGTTACATTGGGGTGGAGAAGAGAGGTGAGAACTTGCAAGCAGAATTTTGGCTCATTACTGCCTACCATGAGAAAGGTTCCCTATGTGATTTTCTCAAAGCCAATGTTGTGACATGGGCTGAGATGTGCCGGATTGCTGAATCAATGGCAAGGTGAGACAGTATCAGAATTTGCCAATGTAACATTTGCTCAGTGCTTGTAACAGCTGAAAGTGGTTATTTATTTTTATTTCCTGTAGAATAAAAGTATTTACAAATTAAGGATTTTTTCAAGGAATGCATTTGTATATTAAAGTGGCACTTAAGAAAAATATATTTAAGTTAAATCATAATAGTCCATGATTAAAAATAAAAGTTATTTTTGTAGGGGCCTAATGCATCTTCATGGAGAAATACCTGCTTCTAAGGCTGAAGGATTTAAACCAGCTATTGCACACAGAGACTTCAAGAGCAAGAATGTTCTTCTGAAGCATGATTTGACAGCCTGTATAGCTGACTTCGGCCTGGCATTACTGTTTCTACCTGGAAAACCATGTGGGGATACACATGGCCAGGTATAGTAATGTTTTTGTTTGTGAAATCTAACTCTACTGGAAAATGTCAGCTTCCATGACTTGTTTTTTTCTAATGTTACAGTGATAGGCTTACAATAATTATTGCACTGAAATTCTAAATACTCTGAATCGAGAAACTAAAATGGAAAAGAAAACCTAAAAGGTTTTTAACTATTATTTTTAAAAACTCTCTAAATTCATTCACCTTTCTGTGTACTTTAGGTAGGAACTCGGCGCTACATGGCCCCTGAAGTCTTGGAAGGAGCCATTAATTTCTCTAGAGACTCTTTTTTGCGCATTGATATGTATGCGTGCGGCCTTGTCCTTTGGGAATTGGCTTCGCGTTGTACAGCGCAAGAGGTAAGCTTTTGATTCACATTTAAGTAATACATTTTTATTTTATGATAATAGTAGAGTGAAGAAATTCAGTGCCTGAACCTTTCCTTAATTAGAATTTTAAATGTAGAATCTTAAAGAATTATATTGTCTCTCTTTCTGGTGAGGATAAGTGTGAATTATTCCTGCAGGGCCCCATCCCTGAGTACCTGCTTCCCTTTGAAGAAGAAGTAGGTCAGCACCCTACACTTGAGGATATGCAAGAGTGTGTGGTACAGAAGAAGATCAGGCCAGCGATCAAGGAGACATGGCGCAAGCATTCAGTGAGTTTAATATTATTGCCATTATGTGATGTTACTATTAACCACTTAACATAAAAGCCCAAGTATACTCAGGGTTTTAATTATTTCAAAAATCTTAAAAGCCTGAGTATATTTGTAATTTTAATATCAATAAATAAAAAATTGGAAATTTTTAGATCGAATTTTGTTTTATTATAGGGAAGTTAAGGGGATAGTAGAGTGCAAAACAAATAATTTGTAGTAGTAATAATTTATAAGTAACAATAACAGTAGTAGAAAAATGGGGGTTATGTCCAGGAGAGGGATACTTTTGATTCAGAATGGTATGTCAGAAAGTAAAAGTAATCTTTGGGACAAGAAATTCGTTTTGTTTTCGGAAAAATGGTGAGAATATACAATAGAATTTTCTTTCAACAAATTTTATAAAGTCTTACCAGATTACAAAATTAACAAGATTCTCATAAATGCAATACAAAATATTTTATATTTATTTTAGAAAAATGGCGTATCAAATATAAGAATTGGAAGAAATATTTCACTTGTGTTTGCTACAGGATTGAGAATAGGGTGCTGAATTTTATTTAAAATGTTTTTCCAAAGGGAAATGAAAGAAGGAAAATACTGCCAATTCTGACCCTGAAACTTTGCTGGTGTAGATGACTGTATCCCTGAGAACTTTCACGAAGTACTCTATTCAAAAGCTATGGCATAAACTTTTTTTCAACTGGTTCTAATGAGAAATTGTATTCTGAACATATATTAAGTGGTCATTCACTGTATCAGGACATAGCAAAATGCAGAGAACAGAAAGAAGAAAAAGAAAAAAAAATATAAAATAAGAAATGCCTATGCTCTTCATCATGCATTAATCTGTGTCAACAACACAAATATCTGCGAAAATTCAAAAATTTGTCTCCGTATGAGGGTTATAATACAATATTAATAAATGAAGTTAAGAACATTTCTGGTGTTTATTTGTCAAACTTGTTCTAAACATTTTCATTGATTTTTGCTGAGGTGGCTAATGAAGTGAATCAATTGATATGGATAGATCTCAAGACAGGCAGAGAGTCGCTGCTTGACCTTTGCATCTATCCTAACAGAAAAAGGGAGAAGCCAGTGCTTGCTAATGTGGAGGATAGAGCAGCATGCTAAACTTCCTTACAAACCAAACCTGCTGTGAGTGTGTCCAGAAGCAATAATACCCCTTTTGCGTTCTTGAATATTGTTGTAATTGCCAAAAAAACATTGACCTCATTTTGATGGAAATACGTTTTGAGGGTCCCTAATACTGGAAAAAATGTTAATTTTATTTTTCAAAAATCTGTTTCTCTCTTCATTTCCATTCATCAGTGGAAACTAGCACCTAATTTTCTAAAAAATAACTACTCATTTTTTTGCTCGAGAAGAAGAAAGAACATTGAAAAATGGGTAATTTTCATGAAATCTTCTGAAATTTTGAAAATTGCAATCCTGTAATAAATAGGAGGAAGTGCACTTATGAATATGGAATAGGTTAGATTTTCATTAAAATCTTTGAACTTTCTGAAACTGCCAAAACTCTCCTTTTTCTTTTACTGTGTCCTATTTGGGTAGATAAGATGGTAGATGAATTGCAAATAAAGCCCCCAAAATACAGGGTTGTATTACAGGACAGATACAAAAAAATAATAATAAAATTCCTCACATTCATCATCTGAGGCAAATAGTTCCTGAAGTACATCCTCACATTCATTGTTGGGAAGTTCTCCATATGTGTTTTTATTCTGTATTCTTTTTTAGTGGTTGACAGATATATACTAAAACAAAAAACCTTGATGAAGATATGCTTATGTATTTTTCAGAAGATAGCTGAAATGTTAAATAGCCACCCTCCACTCCACATTAATTGAATCAAATTGAATTGATGCCTTATTTCACATAGCGATAGCTATAAAATCCCATTCACTCTCATCCCTGTAAAAGAAGCCCATTAATTTCATTACGTTAAGGGGGCCAAATGACACAGGAAACTGAACTATAGTTCAGTTGCATTTCACAAGCAGCTCTTCAAATAAAATTTCATAAAAGCCATAAATAATCATGCTTACATTTCAGATAAAAATCAGATAATCAAATGAGTGAGAATATGAAATTATTTAAATAATTTATTTCTAGAAGTAGGGCCAAAAATGGCTGGAAAAATTGAGACTGTATGTCAGAATTTCCTAAGTTTAATTATAAAAAAGATTGTATTTATGATTGGTTTCTGGAAAGTATATCAGAGTCATGTGACATGAAACTGCAGAAAGCAAACTGTAATAGGCTGTAACTGTCCAAATATATTGAAAGCTGAAGTTACTAAAATATTTAGGAGTTTATATTGACCATAACTTGAAATGGTAATATCTTGTGTGGCAAATAATGCAAAAAAGTAGATTTCTTAAGTATGTTTTTGGCAAACGCAAATGAATTCTCGAAACTAAACAACTGCTAATTATATACTATGCTTTATTTTGGTCAATTATAACTTACGGTATAGTAGCTTGGGGTGGAGTATATGAATCTATACTAGTACCATTAATTAACATTCAAAAGAGGATTATGAAAATTATTTTAGAAAAATGTATATCATATCCCACAGAATCTTGATTTAAAGAAACCAATATAATAAATATAAAGCATTACTTTATTGAAAAATATACTATATAATCGTGACTGGCATCAAAATAAATATTTAAGTTTGATTAAAATTAAAGATTACCTAATATACAACCATCAAGAGTTAACAAAGGCTTGTGCTTGAGAAGACATAATGTAGTTGGAATTAAAGAATTGAATGTGTTAACTGATATCTTAAAACCTACTACTGTAAAAAAAGTTATTGATCATCTGGGCATAAATATTATAAATTCATTTTTCTCTTATTTACAAAAGCTTCCTACATCTTTTTGTTTTTTCTACCATTTTAAATTATTTTTTTACTCCCATTTTACGTTAAGTATGAAAAAGAATATGTTACTATTTAGAGAAAAGTTTTTGTCAGTTTTTTCAGGTCTGCACACAGGCTTAGCCTCCTGCAGTAAGTTCTGTATAGGTCATACTGAAAATATGTATTTATAACAAATTGAAATATAAATAAATAAAATAAAATAGAATAATCTGTGTAGCGGATGCATCAATTACTTCCAGCTGTTCGCAAATCACATTAGAAAACTATGAATGAGATACATCACATATACAGGTTTTTAAAATAACTTGCAAATAGCGGACAAGTAACTGTGTAGGATCTATGTGTGTAATTGAAGAACTGGCTCCCTACTCCCAAAACTATGGTGCATGCACCCACTCCTGACTCAAGGGCTTCCACAAAATGATGTTCAGGGAGCTCGAAAGATCTCTTTACTGGGAATTGTTCCCAGGAGAGCGTTTGGTCCCTTAGGCGCACAGCCAGGCACCAAAACAACCTAAATATTATCTATACATGCTCGTGTACACTTATTAGTAGTGCATTGGAATTTAATAGCCCATACTTTTTTTGCTGTCCTGGTTGATTGTAGATAAACCTTTCCTAAAAATTTCTAAGTGTATAATATGATAAGTAAATGAAATATCACAGTTGCAAATTTTTTTAGTAATGAAATAGTTTGTCTTGTGAGAAAACTTTTATTCTAGTTCCAAAGGAGAAACAATGGAATTTTGGATAGGTGTTTCAGTGGAGATAATAAAAGGATTTTTTTAAAACATTCTTAAATATTAGTAAAGAGATTGAAATTTTGCAAACCAGGTGAACAGACTTGATATCCAGAACACAAGCCATGTATTGCTCAGTAAAATGACCATTAAGTACATCATAATTTGGGGTTTGAGCAGAATCAGTGTTGACCACACCAGTAAACAGTAGTGAATGAATTTCATTGACCTTGACTGTTATGCATTGCCTGTTGTGCAGGGGCTGGTGGCGCTTTGTGATACCATGGAGGAATGCTGGGACCACGATGCTGAGGCTCGCCTCTCGGCGTCGTGCGTCATGGAACGAGTGGCCCTGCAGGCTCGCCTGGTGCCTGTACCAGTGATGCCCAGCGCCCCCTGTGCTGATGTTGTGCACAAGGAGTCCAACATGTAGGCCGCTCAACCCACACCAAGGTAACAAGATCAACCGAATAGAAATTTATTTTATTATTACAATTTAGCACACTGTTCATAAAAATTCTGGTAATCATGTTGTGAGTACTCATGACGAGATGCTCATTGCATACTTAAAAACAAAATAAATTATGAGATAAAGAAATAAATAATAACAGCTGCATGTAAGAATAGCACATAAAGATGGAAGAAGAAATAAAGAATTTAGAATGTTAAAAATGTACATATCACTAATCTAAATTAAATATTTAGGTGCATCTAATAATGAAAAGTACTATCTTTTCTCGCATTCTCAATAAAACCCTCTTTTTACACTTTTCAGGGGACCGATGGAAAAAAGTGTAAAATGCAGGAATATTAAAAAACGATAGGCTAAGCAAATACTTATATTATTTATTACAAGGACTTGTTTACATAATTAAATTACTTATATTAAACTTTTAATAATTTACAAATTACACTTAAACGATTTTAAAAAATCTAAAATTGTCATTTGTTTTTGTTTTTTCTGTAAATGAATTTCTGCTACCTGCCTCTCCACTATATACAATGCTTTGAATGCATCCTCACCACCTGATCACTCTCAATAAATTGCCTCAAAGTAGTGATTGCATCCATTGCTTTGTCAATTGTCGGGACAATAGGTTCTGGTTCTGTGTCTTCGCTAACTTCTTGTTCCAGGTGGTCGGAAATTATCTCCCCCACAGTACGTAATACTGAAGTCGTAATTTCGGCATCATCATGTACATAATCTTCAAATGAAGATCCTGCCATCACTGACCAGTGATTAGGCTCCACCAAATGTTCCTGTTCATAATTCTTGACTTCTACAAACTTGACACCAGCCTTATGGAAGCAATTGGAAATTGTTTCGGGAGTCACACTTAAACATGCTTTGGCCACATAATGCATAGCATCAAGAATTGATAAGGTCATCAACTTTGAATCCATACCATTATCGTTCATAAACAAAGCTTTTTCAACCAGCATTTTTCTGTACTTCCATTTAAAAGAATGAATTATGCCCAAATCTAGTGGTTGAAGAACACTGGTACAATTCGGGAGAAAGAATATTAATTTTATATTTCTGAGCTGCAGATCTTCAGGGTGGGCAGGATATAGCAATAATAACCCTTTCCAATTTCTTGCTCCCATCCAGAGCATGCATGGTGGAGGAGAAGGCACTGCTGGTCATCCATGCACTACTGTTTGCCTCATATTTGGTTGGTAAATTTTTGATGTGGAGCCATCAGCATTCACCATTAACAAAACAGTTATCCTCTGTTTGTTGAGCTTCCACCATGACCCTTTTCACCTTTGAAACACTAATGTCTTACTTGACAGAATGTTATAAAAAAGACCTGTTTCATCAACACAGCAAGCTGACTATGAGACAAGACTATCACTATGTCTACAAAACTTGCGATGTACCTGGAAATAGAAAATGGCTGACGACATGTGAAAACACGGGTTGCATGTGACAACTTCCTCCAAAATCGATTCAAAAATCATTTTTACCTTAAAAAAAAGAACGTGAAAAAAATGTATAAAAGACGGGAATCACTTGATATTAAAATTATAAATTGTGGAAAGAGAATGCATTGTAAATATAGGCTTTTTGATGGGACCAACGAAAATTACGTAAATGGCAGGAAAACGTAAAATGCAGGTTTTACTGTATCTCTTCTAATTTCTGTTAATATTCAGTAGCTCAGTTTTTTGTCTTTATTAAAAGTCGTCTTAAACATATAATTGCAATGCTCAGATATTTCAAGGTTTTATTTTTTTAATACCATTGTATTCTTATTTAGATATGAAGAAGTGTGAGCCTGGAAATTCACTGCACGTTTTGAGTTCTCAACTGAAATAATCTGTATTCAGGAATTTAGGATCTATGCAGACATAATTTAATTATTGCTAAAATAATTACACCAAAACTCATGCTAATTACTGTAGTGCAACAACGCCTTATGCTATTTATTATCAATCAGGGCAACATCACATTTGACATATATTTTAAACGTATGTGAACGGACATAAATATTTACCGTTGCCCTTATTAAATAAAAATAAAACATCACATTCACACTCTTCAACACTCTTCAACATACAAAAACCATTCACTTCATTCTTGCTCATCTGCACGACTTTAATTTCAAATTCATTCATGGCCAATTAATAATGAATTCTATAAATGAATTTCAATCTTCACCTTGGACAGATTTGAAATGTCTTTCTCCATAAAGTTCCAGTTCCCTTTTGGAAGATTACACAATATGCTTGAATGATGAATTTATGTCATGAACAATTCTTTACCCAACTACACCAGACTGTCACCATCCATTTTATCACACACGCATGCACATGCACATACACGCAAGTGACAAGAGTTTTTCAAATTCCAATTTTCTTACCCTTTTTACTTTTACTGACCCCTTTTTTTTTCCTTCTCCGATCTCCTTGTTCCTTCCACAACAGTGCACGCTTTACCATTTGCTGTAACCCTCATTGTAATTAATTTCATACATTATTTTATAGAAAATGAATGTTTGATTAATAATTAGATGTGTTCTTGAGATGACATGGTTCATCTCCATGAATACAATTTGAACTGGAAGCATCTCCAATTATCAACTGCCTTGTTCAATACAGTGTAATTCATTTATTTATAGAAACAATTATGTACCCTCAAATTGCACATAGTATAATTCAATAGTTTTTTGTTGCGAAACTTAAATGTGGAGAAGCTGGAATTAATCATCTTGTGATGCATACCCCTACGTGGAGCTTTAAGCCTAGAAACCTCATAGATATCATGATACTGCTTCTTAATAATCAGTGTCATAAAGAGAGCAGACAAAACCTGAGAAGTAAAATTTTGTTTGTATTGTGATATATATTAAGTTTTAGCAGTCACAATAAACATGATCAGGTTTTAAGCCCTGCAAGAGCATGATGACTGAGAATGAAGATCTTATTTGCTGTTTTTCTTGTCATGTTGCAGTGGATTTGTTTATCGAGTACCTGCACTTGATCTACAGTACCTGGAACAGAACTACCCGCATACGCGCATTGTAGCAGCAGCTGACTTCTTACAAGTCCTCACAAGTTTCTCACTCATTTCTTCTTCTCCGGATCTGTGTGCCAATGATTGAAGGAGCCAGCAGAAGAAGAGCGCCGTTTTATAACCAACTGCCCGTTAGCAACTCGTGTGGGTACTTTTGTAGGTGGGGGACGCATCTAGGAGCCGGCGCATCATCCAGCAGTCAGCACACTCAGGCAGCATGCCCACAACACCGGTGTGTGTCTTCATGAGAGGATGAATGAAAGATCGAGCATGCTTCGGAGAGTGTCACTCGGGGATGATAGGCCAATCTGACGCGATTCCCTAGCTGCGGAGGCGACAACCAATGTCACTCCATGCAGCCTTACCTCAGGCTCTGACCGCCACCTCTTGCCTGGTGCACTGCACCAACGCTGCGAATCCACCCAATTACAGCAGACAGACAGGTATCAAATTACGTACAACATACCATGCATATTGAGTTCCTATTCTTCACTGTTGTTAAGTATATATCGTGTATATATTTTATTATATTTTTTGTATTTGGTATATTTTGACTAAGATATACCCTGCGCCTAATTTCACATCATGAGTATGTGTGTGTGCGTGTGAGAATGTGGCTGTGTTGTGGGTGGCTGGGACACTGGGAGGTGCGCCGGCTCTTTCAGTGGTTGAGAGGCACCAGCCCTTGTCCCAAAGAAGGGGCAGGGTTGCTGGCAGGCTTTGCCCATGGTGAGTGTTTTGGCAAATGCCGTGTCATTCCTGAGTAATGACAGTCAGAAACTTCTCTCGAAGGTAGAGGCCGGCCCAAGCAGCAGCTTGGCTAGTTCTAGCGAGATTAAGAGGAAACTCTGTGAAGTATGTAGAATTACGTAGAGTTTTTAAATTTGTAGCTTTACAAGTACATTGTAATAGGTGTTTTTTTTATTACAGTAGTTGTTCTTGTACCTAATTTTTTAATTACTAAGTGAGATGTCATTTTAAGACTTTTACAGGTTCAGATGAAAACTCCATGAGAATTACTGTAACGGTTTAATGTATAGTCAATTACCTCAGGTTCCATGTCAGCTCTTGCATGTTTCTTATTTCTTTTTCTTGCCTGTTGTACCTTTCTCTGTTATGCTCTTCCTCTTCTTTGTTTCTGACATGATCTTTTCTTGTAAATGAATTAGTGATTGTATAACGGAAATTGTGCATTTTTCATAATTTTGAGAAAAACTGAAAAATTTTGTAGTTTTTAAATTGAACACAAGTGTATAGTAGTTGTTCAAATACTCCACTACCTAACCATCGAAAGATGTCACTCATTTTTAAGTGATGGAAGATGTTTTCAAGTGCTAAATTTTTATCTTTTGTAACATATATGACATGACATTTCCTTTTATACAATCATGTATTCATAATTTTAGTTCCTTTCAACTCGGGTTTCTGCTCAGCCATGTCAGCCATTGATTGATGAGATAATCATCTCTGACAGTAAAATATCTAGGGCTCTAGTCCCTGTTCTGAACCATCTCAGCTCATCTCGATTTGCACTCATCATGCTCTTTTAAACTAAGCCCTAGGTGGAAGGACAAAAGGGTGGGTGGAGTGCAAGCAGGATGCGGAGTGGGTGGATCGGGGACTATGGCTGAGCTCACCTCTTGCAGACCTCTTCCTCTCCCAGCGCAGCCCTCTGTTGCTCCTTTCTACTTTGGGCCGTGCGGAAGCTGGACGCTGAAGTGATGTCAGTCCACTGGTAGGTGATTAGTAACTTTGGCACAAATAGACAGTTATGTCATTAGGGTGGTATTGTACCTTCTGCGGCAGCTTAAGGCTTTTCATAATCTTGTTAGTACATTAGCTCATGCTAAGTGCTAGATTACCATGTTGTGTAGGTATTTCAAAAAAAAAAATGGCTTTTGAAGCTCTTCCCTACTTTTTAAGTTAGTAGTCCAGGGTGCAAGATTTACAAGTTAGAAATTGCTATTTGTACTTGGACTTTAAATTAACGTTAGGCAGCAGTGCCTCTGAGATTCATATTTTCTAGTAAGCCTGTTGAGTCTGGGGCTCTGTCTTGTTCCCTAGAGATGTTTCAAATGAGGGCTTTTGGGTTGGCTCTGCAGCCTCTTTGTGGCCTCGGACCTGGGCTGTTCGAAGCACTCCACTGCCGCCCGGCCCCCCTTTCTCCTCTGCCCTTCCCCCCTGGTGCCTCTCTTCTTTGAGGGTGTGGCACCTGTGGGACGCAAGGGGGAATTCTGCCTCTTCCCATGGCATGGCCCAGTGCTATGTGTTTGCTCAACGAACCTCCTGTCCCAGTCAGCCCCAGCCCCATTCTGCCCCCAGGCAGACACTACTCGCAACTTTACATAACATTGTTATTGTACAGTCAAGTCAACATCCTTACAACAAAATAATAATAATGGTGCTTTATCGTCTTTAAAAGTTCAAAAACTACATTTTTGCATTCATTATGTCATAAGTTTTTCAGGTTATTTTTATGTAAACAATTTTCTTATAACACTAGCCTAAGAAATTTTCCAACATACATTTAAGAAAAAGAACAAAAAAATGCACGATATTTTTTCAAATTTAGAAAATTATAAATAATTGATATGTATTTCTGGAGTGGCAGCTTATTTGAAAGCACATTCACGTACTTGGTAGTAACACTATGCTGTCTAGGCATGAGGAGAGCCATGGGGTTTGGGCTTATTCATAGCAAGGCTCTATGCTCCCATGGTTTTGGAGTGACTCACTCCCTCCCCATGGCTCTCCCAGGTGGAAGTTTCTTGTAATTGATGTAAAGAAAAGCATTGTATCAATTGAGCTCTTTTTTAGTATAATGGTTATTTTAAAGTGTCTACAGTTTAGTCCCTTGTCTGTATGGCAATAATTTTAGTTGTTTGTTTAAAAAATGTTGAATGTGTCTTTGACCCATTATGTAGTTAACAAGGTCTGTGTGTGTCCAGAGGAGCACACCCTGCCTGTGCAACATGGCACATAGCGTTCCTATTGCCCTGCGTCACCAGACATGCACCAGCCAGAAATTTCCTGTGCTGGCTCCTGCCAGTGACGCATGCACTGAAAATATGGTGCACCAGCAAACGTCAGGGAGGGCAGCAGGCAGCAGAACTGGCGCAATCAGTGGCCAGCACGACGGTTCCCTCCTGCACAATTCTAACATGACAGTGTTTTATTCAGTTCCTGGTTTGGAGCACTAGGCTCGCCATACTTTGCTGTGGTGCCTATTTCATTGACCACTTGTAGAGTCTCACTCCTGGAGATGAAATACCAAGTTTGTGCACTAATTCAGGAGAATGTCATTTTAGAATGGTGCTGGGACAGTGGTGCCAACCACTGGAAACGTGCTTCCTGCTGAAGTGCACTTGTTTGTATACCGCAATGCTGCTGGATGGCACCACTGACCATGTTCTGTTTCTTTGTCATGCGTGCCAACTGATATTATCAGCATAGTTCAGGATGCCATTGAAATACCTCGTGTAGTTGTAAGTTGGGCGATAGTATTCCATGCAATAGTATTATGTGTGTGGCTGTTTGTGTGTCTGTGTTGTGCGCCCTTGACTGGCGGCTGGCTGCCCCTGCCCGTCCCTTGCCATGCTCTGCCCTCCCCTTTCGCAGGGCCTAATTTAATTTTAATGGACCGGAGGCAAAAGTGCTCTTAAGGGCTTCAAAAACACAACCTGTTTTTTAATGAATGACGTTTATATCTCAATATACCATACAATAGGTAAATTCCAATTTGATATATAATGAACAAAAAATACAAAGGTTTTTGATATGAATTTGTTATGCATTTACATATAATGTCTTTTCAGATTGTTTTGATTAAAGTTTCATATAATTGTTTTATATTGTTCTAGGTAGTTTTTCAATGGTGTTACATTTAAAAGAATTTTAATAGTAAAGGATCTCAACAGTTTTTAATAAAATTGTACAAAAATTGTATTGCAACTATCTTACAAACACTACAAATAACAGGAGCTAGATAACTAATTTTCATAGACTTGTAATCATGAAATGTCTTTTTCATACTGCTGAGAGAAACTAAAAACCAACAGCTATTACCAATGCAATGTATAGATATTTTGTTGCATTGTTAATGCAGACTTTGTATTACTGAAGTGAGCCCGACGCAGTTGCCGTTTGCCTAGTCCTATGTATAAGTTAGGCCCTGCGTGTCTTGTCGGCCTCCCTGCCCAGCCTCGCGCCATAGCTCCCAAGCAGGGTGCTTCCCGCCAAGTACAAGCCAACGGATACCTCCCCTTCCAGCCATTCACTGCTCCACCCATCATTCCGAGTTCCACAGGTCTAGCGCCTCACTGCTGAGCTGTAGTATTGTTGAATTTACATTTTGTAAAGGTACTTAAAGTTAAAAGATGTTTAAAACTAAATTAACTGGAACATTTCTTGTACGTATGTATGTAAGTATGTATTTGTATGCATACGTGTGTGTGATATGTATGGGGAATTTTTGTGTTGTTTTTTTCTAAGCCTCTTCATATTTTGTCATTACTCTGAGAATGCATATGAGGTATAATTATCTGTGTACTTTAGGTTTTGTTTAGCAACTTTCTACTGCTACATAATGTCAATATAAAAATTTAAATTACACTCTGTAGAACACATGTGCAAAGTTTTGCATCTCTTGCTCCTAAAATCCTGCACTTGAACGTGCTACCTCCTTCTCCTTTTTACTTCCACCTAGAACTGGATGAAGGTAGCTTCCTGCAATTTATTTGAAGCGATGGGCGATTAAGAAATTTGCCACGTAAATTTGATACAAATTTATTGACATATGAGAGAACGGACATATAAGAAAACCTTCACCACATACATAAGTAGTTAAATATTTTAGCGTTGCGCCATTAAAGTATACACTTCCATCACCAACTTTTTCTGTTCGTTCTAAAGGCCTGGACGAGCGAAAGATTCGCTAGCTCGCATTTCCATTCAGTTGCGGAACACCGGACGACAAAGGTACACACACGAACGCAGACAAGGGGCGTTTTCTACAAAACGGGTTTGTTGGGCTTCACAAGTAAGAACGGCTGACGAAGCCGCGGAGGTGAACCGGCCATCCGCAGCGAAAACGGGGACGGTGGCGGCGGCGGCGGTGGTGATATGTGGCAGGAGGCAGTGTGCCCGGTTCCGAACCGGCGGCGGCGTGTCGCCTCAACAGCGCGCGCAGCGGGAGCCGCGCGGGACGACGGGCGGCGGCGGGGGCGGCGCGGCGCACGCGGGCTCCGTCGGCGACTCCGAGTCGGAGCCCGCCGCCCCGGGGGCGGGGGCGGCCGTCGGGCAGGCCCCCGCGCCCAGCAGCGCCGCGGGCCGGCTCACGTTGCCGTTGTCGTCCGCGGCCGCCGTCCCCGCACCCGTCCCCGCCCCCGCCGAAGCCTCGTCGTCCTCCAGGCTGGAGTAGCTGGCCGTGGTGCCCTCCGAGTCGGACTCGCTGCTCGAGGACGTGCTGGACGAGGAGCTGTTGGCCGAGCTGTCGGCCGCGCCGCCCGAGCTGGAGGTGGTGGCGGCGGCGGCGGCTGCGGCGCGCAGGAGGTGGTGGTGCGCCGCGGCCGGGGAGTTGCCGTTGTCGTCCACGCCGCTGCCGCTGCCGCTCCCGCTGCTGCTGCTGCTCGGGGCCTCCGCGGCCGCTCGCACTGCGCAGGTGAGCAGAGCGCGGGTTCAGAAACGGCTTTTAACACTTTCTTCTCATTGGAAGGGAAATTGTGATGTTGACTACTTCACGTATGGAATGTCAATTGTTAAGTCATAAGTTAATTGATGTTGATAATGTAACAGAAAGTTCTTGTTCGCGTCTACGTCTTCCAAAACTACAACTACCTAATGGATTTCAAAGCGTTTTTAATTGTTTGGACCGTTTATTTCTGAAAGTTTTTGGTGAATAACACCGAACTTTCTCTCACACATACTACATACATCAATAAGCTCTTCAGCACCAGATTCGTTCCACTGCAGGTTGATAAGGCTGTATATTGTTTGTTCTTCATACCGTCCGTAAATGCTTTGTAATCAAGTGTAGTAGTTTAGTAGATGAAAAACGTTCTCAATGTTACGTGTTTTCATGAATGGTTGGTTTAGAAAATTCTGTTTTCTATCTCTGAAGGGGATAATCTCTAAATTGAGTGTGTGATGTCCCTGAAGTATCAATGGTCCCATCAGATAAGACAATACTGTCTCCTGGTTAATTGTTTCATCTCCCTGGTTACGTTTTACAACCTTACCGTATTCTGGAAATTCTCTTGTTCGTGGACGCGTTTTTTTTTTTATTTTAAATTTTAATTTGATCTCACTTCAATTTCAATAGCGACTTTTGGTGATTGTTTTAGATCCAATTAATCGTAGTTGCGTAATAGGTCTACATGCATTTTATAAATGTTGCGGCGACGCTGAGACGGAAGTAAAATTACTTCCATTTACACCGTTGAAACAACACAGACACCATGTATTTCATTCCTTTCCAGTTTCGGTATCTGCACGTAATGTACCAACAATTCTACAACCCTTGCGCAATGCCATCATCGTGTATTTCAATCATATTGAAGTTGTTTACGCCCTCTTCAGTTGTATAAGTCGGACTTAAAATTACAAAATGTATAGTATATAAATGCTTGAAAATTAATCTACAAGTGTCTAAAATAAGGATCCCTAACACACTTTCCTTTCATTCGATACACTTTAGTGATCCCATTTGCTACATCCAATTGATTAAATTGATATACGTAAAGCTATTTTTCAACACCGTATAAACGTTGGTAGCAATTGTGCTACATAAATGAATATCAGTAAAGACGGATTAACCTCTGGAGAACGAACGTCAGTCTAGTACATTCGCCACTTCATCATTGCCCTGTTAGTGCCTGGTACATTGCAACATCGTTTGAAGAGTGCTCCAGTGGTCTGAGATGTAAATGGACTGTGTCTAGGGTTAAAATCAACAAATCGAAGAACAAGAAAGCGCCCTGTTGAGGGCATTAGTATTCAAACTTTGAGATACTTTCTTTGAGACTACATAGTTAAAGAAATATTAGAGATCATTTTACCGATAACAGGTAGGTACCGTATCTTCGGTCGTGCGCTCGACTCTGAGGATCAGGTTACACACATTGAAACACAAGATGCATCTGAAATGCAAATATTTAAGATGCTCGAGAGTTTCGAAAAATATATCGATACAGAATTTTATTCAAAACTACATGAAATCATGTAAGGTATTTTTCAAGAATCTGTTGGTTTCAGAACAAAATTACTCGCTTCAATAATGGTAGGGAAGATAAATTTTCCGGGCGGGTAGGCCGTGGTCATGTTGGCATTGAAGGGCCAAACGTTTCGTCCACGTCTGCGGTGGACATCCTCAGTGGCTTGTAGGCGCCTGCTGTCTTTAGAGCGTCCCTACAGTCTTTAATTGATCTAGAGATTGCGGAGCTCAGTGGTGAGGTTTAAAAGGGTTTTGATACGTTTTAGAATCTTGCCAATACGGTCCGTGATGTTCTTGATAAACGGCAGTGTGACCTTGTGAATATTTCCTTGGGAGGACTGCATGCTTTGTTATTTGGACGTGTCACTATATCAATATAATTACTTTCGCAATGATATGTGTATTGATTTGGGATAATTTATTAGGATCAGTGAACCAATTATCGCCCATGTGCCTAATAAATTTGGAAAGGATTCAGCGTAGGGCAGTTAAATTTACTTTCAGTGACAAGAAATTGACAGGGTGGTATTCACTCAAAAACAGGAGATTAGTAGCAAGACCGGTTTGAATAATCTTATAGCGGTCATCCAGCTTGGACAGAAATTAATCTGCGGCTAAATGTTCCTATATACATCAGTAGACGGGATCACAGGCAGAAAATTTTAAGGCCGCAAAGAACAGATGTCGGGAAATTTTCTTTCACTAATCGAACGATAACGGAATGGAATATATTGCCTCCAAAGACTTCAACCCTTTCCAATAAGCGTTCAACAGTTAAGGAAATTACTTTACGGTCTTATTAAGTAAATGAAGGACTTATGTAAGAATAGTAGGTTATATAGCGATGCTTAAGTGTTACATTATAAAGTGAGGTGTCGAGCAGAGACATAATGAAGGAAGTGATTTAAGAGTCATAGTGAAGTGCAGTGCAGTGTGGTCTTAATTGAACAAATATTACAAATTAAATTGTACAAATATTCAGTGCGAAACGAACTTAATGTTTCATTAATCAGTTTTTATATTATATAATATTTATGTTAGTTATATGACTTATTTATGTAATTAGCTGCCACCGGGTTTTACCCAATTGCAGTTTAAATAAATTTTATCTTTAATATCGCCTACGTGTGTTTCTAAGATGCGCTCGATATATGGTTTCTTACGTGACACTGTTCTGGTGTATGCAGTTTTAGTTTCACATACGCCCGAACTATGAGTTTCACATAAGAAACCATATATGGAGCGCATGACACCTTCGAAACACGAGTAGGCGGTATTAGGCGCAGGGGCGATAAATTGGTATCCTATCCTGGGGCTAACCACCGCGTACGTTCTCAACATGGTGCACTGGTGGATTTTAGTAGAGTTCCATATAGACGTGTTTATTTATCCCCAAATATGCTATTCTGTGTTTGCACGACCACTTTTTTGATTGCCGTCTTACGATACCAAATTCTGTTTATTCTCCTCCAATATGTCTGTTCGAAATAAACTCATCTTCCGATGCATTAGCCTCCCAGACGTGAAAATGATGACGCCAGCTGTTTTTATAGGAGATGAATGAAACGTCAAGCTCACAAAGCATCGATCACTTTTTAACATTGAAGTAATTAATCATTATTTTACATTTGACAGGGCTAATGCCAATTTATCTTCAGTAGCAGTTGTCACAAATTGGTGTAACGCGTCAATTAACGGCCTCTGAATGGAAAAAGCCTGTTAGAAAAGTAATTTATTCTCCCCGAAACAGAATAGGCCTGCATCAATTGTGCTGCGTGCATCAGCAGTTATTGCCCTCCGCTCTCTGTATTACTCGTATGTGCATAGCTGACAAGGGTCACAAGCCCAGTAAAGCATGGAATGGTCATGCTGCAGGAACTGTCAAATGAAATCTCGTGTGAGGTCGTTTCCTAATTCATAAATGTTCATCTGTTCAAGCAGTTTTTAATTTTTTCTGGTTGGATCATTTGGCATAAATACGTTATCTAGACAGTTTTCAAGAATTATTGCACAATTTTTTAACTTTCTTGTTCGTAAGAAGAGAAAGTATTGTAATCGTACGCCGGAAAACTGCGAATTTCCTGCCGAAAACTCTTATTGTCGGGCCTTGGTAACGAAAAAGTCAATAAATCTTACACACACATACGTCTTCTAACACGTTGCGTAGTCTGAATCCATGTTTTGTAGGTCCTTAAAACCGAAAAATCGATTGATAGCAAACGTTGTTCGTCCGTCTGTGGTCAACGCTAGCGCCAAAACACCTATTTCTCCAAACCTCACATTCCTCGATCAATAATTGATATTTTATTTAAAGAAATTCAGCGCCCTCTTTGAGTTTGAAACGGATATTTTGATTTTTGAGGGTACTTTACATGGAACCTCAAAAACATTTTCAATATTGTCTCAAAAGCAAACCATATGTTTTCATTAAGCATTAACTCGGTTAGCGGAAAGGGAGCTTAAAAGAATGTCGCACGTCTCATTTTCGTTGCAATCCTTGATTTTTCGATGCTTTCGAAAGTTCAAAAAATGCTCGGCCTGTTACTGCAATTACAATATTTGAGACAAATTATTACTTTCTCGCATACTACATATGTAATATAGAGAAAATTACGTAATGCTGCCGCGAAAAACTGCTATTTTTCTGCAAAAGACTTCGTATTGTAGATCCCCAATAGCGAAAAAAAATTGTACATTTATTGTTGTCTATTTATATTCTTCAAATGTGTGTAGTCAGAAACTAGATTTGATATCTAACCAACTTTATGGAAAATCGTCTTATGTGTTATTTTTTGTAACAAGGCGGTTAAAGTGTATGAAGAATTTTCACCAAACTTTATATTTCCCTGTCGATATGACACATGTTGCGGTCCCTTGAATTTGAAACCGATATTTTGTTTTCTGTCGGTACTTTACATTAATCCGCTAGAACATTTAAAATTTTCTCAAAAATGACTCTAAATTTTATTAAATTTTGATCCCGTCCTATAAGAAGATTGGGCATACCAACATTTCCGTAATTGTATTTACTCTACACGAACGTAACATAACACTTGTCTATGTGTTTTAAGAGGTCGCATATGTAGCGTGCGTAACTTACTCAGCTGTATCTTCTCCAGGATGAGCGGGTAGAAGTCTCTCGCCGTGGTATTATGAGGCTCGTAGCGCAGAACTGCAAGAAAAAAGGTACATGTTACTTGGCGTTCATTATGATATTGAAGCAGATCTTGGAACCAAGGCTGTATTTATCGAGTAAAAAGCAAGTTACTTAGGTATCACATCCACGGAAAACCTAGCGCCCTGGAAAAATTTCTTAAAATATTCTAAAAGTCATAAAATATGTTTAAATGTGTAAAAGTTTTGTGAATCAAATAGTCTACTATGCTAAAAAGATATATTATAATGTCTTTTTTAGAAAATCTGAATTTTGTTTTCGGAAGGAAACGCCAACATGTGCTTGGGATAGCGCCTTACTTAAATCCGATTCTGCTTGGAAGCCGATTGATATTGCGATAAGAATGAAGGTGAGAAGAGGTGCTGGTCTATGAACTTGTAAATCTTCTTATTTTCTTAAATACCGTCCTATTCCTTATTTATTTTCATTTAGTTTATATTAATTTCTACATAGTTGAATTGTATATCATCAATAAATTACTCCTAAATCTCATGCCACTTTATTAATTTTTTTTTTAGATCTGGATTAATGATAAGAAATTGAGTATTCAGTATAATTATCTTCATTGAACATGTCTCGATAGAATTGCTGAAGAAGAGAAACAAAAGGTTTCAACATTTTAACTCAACATGTTTAAGAGCTCGCCTTCTCGATTTCTTTTTGAAGACAGCGATTTTTCATTCTGAATGGCTTCCCGTTTGATTTCGCCCCTTCACAGTCTGTGCCTATATTGCAACCAAGATTTATAGCTGCTGACTTGGCACTTCGTAGTAAAATATCTTCTGTGCTGAGGCATCTGAAAACGAATAAGATGGTCGACTCCAGTTATAGTGAATCAAAGAGGGCGAACCCTCAGTTATAGTAAACTTAAGTCCTTGGACCCGTTTCACTTACATTACAAATAGCGTAAGAAGTTTCGGTTTCTAGTAAACCTGAGCCTCGGCTATAGTGAAGATAGGAATTACGTCTTGGAAATTAATTATCTCCTGAAAAATAATCAATTAACTCAGTGCCAAAAATTCTAACACTAAGCAGCTTGAAAAAATATCGTTAAACAAAGGTCATAATCGAAGAAGCTCCCCCGAGAGTGTTCCAACAGTGTAAGAGACACTGAAGGGTGTCAAGACTGCAATGTGATACTTAGAGACAGAGGACAGTGAAGAATCAAACTCTGGAGAAAGATCTACAGAAATTTGTGTATGAAGCAAACAATTGAAAATAGTTGATTTTTTAAAGGACAAATAAAGATATTGAAATTTTTAGTTCGTGCTGTTAACGTATTTTTCTGAATCTCTATATTAATAAAACTACTCATTGAAGTGAAATTCTATTTAATTTTGACATCGGATATAGTGAACCTCTAATACAACGAACCAAAAATGTTAGTCCCCACAAGTTCACTTCAACCGGAGTCGACTGTATTTATTACTCAATTCGATATTTTTTACTGATACTAATAATATATTGTCTTTTTATATTTCTGCAATATATTTGTCCAAATCGTCGTCAAAATGAAAGTCTTGATTGTTAAAAAATGTATTAATCACTGCACATGTGCATAGTTCGTGTACCGCTTATTACAGTCGCAGTAATATTGAAGGATTTTGATTATTTGTGCCCTCCTTGGTGATAATGCATTTATTTTATTTAACGTTAAAAAACTGTGTGAAACGTGCTACGAGAAGTGTATTTTCTGCACTTTTTCTTAATTCTGGGATTTCTGCCCTAAGCCATACAATTGTATACAAGTTTAATTCAGAAAGATTTGAGAGTTTTTGGCAAGAGTTGATAAAAAAAACATGCGCTCCAGTGTAATAAATTATGTTTTCAAGGGCAAATCAGCTATAGTTTGAAGCGTTTATCCCTTATTATGTTCTTCGTGAAGGACTATACTTCCTGCTGCGCCAATATGGAGTATGACAATTTGAATAACCATTTTTCGCTAGACAACGTGAACTCTAGACAGATAGTGAAGTTACATATATGTATAGAGGCAAAACACGGGGCCCTCTCAGCATTTGCTTAAAGGATCAGGGAAACTAGACGAAAAAACTGATCGAGATGAGTATCATTGACTCAGAAGCTAGGGTACAATATTTGTTAATGTTGTTTAGAATTACTTTACACAGTCCAAATGATAATTAATACATAAAATATTGTTTGTCATATCATTGAATTAGTATATCATATCATTAGGCCTCCTTTCAAAATTGTCAGGAGGGTTAAGGCTCCCTGTTTCGTCACAATGATTACGGAAAGACAGTTTATTAAAACAAATCAACTGACAATAAAATATTTGTAATTAATTTCGTTGTCACATGTACAGGGGTACCAGCGAACCTGGAATCCTTGAAAACCGGGAATTAGGAAAAGCCTGAAAGAACCGAAAAAAACGGGTATTGGATTTGAAAACGGATTTTCAGTTATTTCCAGATTTATCGACAACTTTTCGCACAAATTCACACATGACATCGTATTCAGTTAAGTGTGTGATTCTATTCAGTACACGATAATTGTGAGTTAGAATTGAAGTAGGTACTAGGAAAAATGCCGTACGTATGCTTTAGGATTGCAAAGTCCTTGATTCGCGGGTCACACGACTTCAAACTGCCGCGGGTGTAGTTGCAACATGGGTAGAGTAGGTAGCATCACAGGGTCCCTATGTGGTTGTCTAATGTGAGCACGTGCAAGAGCGAGATATTTGCGGAATAATTGTGTCACCGAGAACTCAATCGCTGAGTTGCGGTTAGTGTCACAGCACTTCTATGATGACATCGGCGGTACCAGTTTGCGGTTTTTCCGATCAAAACGTCATTTTATCACTTTCATAATACTGAAAGGGAATTTTACCTTATTTCAAGAAGAGTGCAGTGGAAGCTACCTTTGTTTATACCCGGAGATCTTGACGAGATTGTGCGTCAGAGAATGCAAGTACACCCGTTTCTCAACCCACGATTTTGAGGTAGTGCTCAGGGCCGGCGGTTCATGTCCTGGGGGGATCCCCCATCCTCCTCCAACACGTATCGAAAATATATTTGAAGGGGAAAATATAAGACAGAATATTTTCAAATTGTTAAGTTTATCATGAAATTGACATCAAATTGTTATATTTATTTTATATAACTTCACCAGTGCATTTTTTGATATCACTCATTTAACATTATTATGCAAATCGATTTTGTTGGCCATGTCGCTTTCAACATGTAAAATTGCAATACTGTTGAGCCGATCTTGCAACATAGTTGATCGCATGTACAGTAGAACCACGATAATCCGAACTAGTTGGGGGATGAGGCCTGGTCGGATTCGGAAATGTTCTTATTATCCGAAAAAATGTACCGAACTTATACAAATATATCTAGGGGATTACCAGACAATAAAACGTAGCGTGCGATGTAAGAAAATTACAACTTCGCATAGCGATCGCATTATCATATCGCATCGAAAAGCAGATTACGTTCCTTTCGGCAAAAGAAGATTACCAATTTTGCAAGTTCCTCTAGGTGAAAATTACTGTAGTTACCAGTGCAACAAATGTTTCATTTCGACAATTTTGTGTTTCAATAATTAGTCGTTCAGTTCTACAGTAATTATAAAATCCGCCCTCTACACTACAAATAAGCATTTTATTTATTTTGTTTATTTTCCCTCCATCCCGAATTTTGTTCCGATTATATGAAATTTCGGATTCGCGATGTCCTGCTGTACTTTTGAGTCGACGCAATACCAAGAAACTTTGTTCATTTCTTGAATATCACGTTTATAGAATATTTGTCTCACCCCAAATTCCGAGTGGGTATTGTATCCACTGGGCATTTTTCGTGTACCCATCTTACCCACTTTATCCGCCGGACCTGGTAGTGACACTAACATTGAAAGATACACTGGCACAATGTTATCAGTCTGCGGTGAGTTTAGATACCTCTAATATCTCCATCCGTGGCCAAATCGTCTTTATAATTTGCTGCGAATACTATAGCAGTCAAATTTATTCCTGTTTGTTTCATTTGTAAAAGTAAGAAATGATTACTGTTCCTGACTATCGTAATATATGTAGATATGTATCATACGCTTTTATTTGAATTGATTGAATTGGAAGTTTTCAAGTTTCAATATTACGGAGCTGATTCCAATAATGCGAGAAAGTATGTGCTGTCGTTGCTTCACTAGGGGTTTTTGAGTAGTACAGACATTTAGAATGTATTTTTTCTTTACTTTCTGCTTTTTTTGACACAGTACATGAGCTCAATCATTCAATATTAGATTTAGTAAGCAATGTCAAGTTCCACATATAAAGGTCATTGACCGTTGTCCTGTTTGTGAATATCGAGCTGTGTGCCGTGCCGGTTTCGAGTGAATGCGTTGTCATGTCACTCGTACGTGTAAGTAATGATCATCAAAAGAAATGCGAAGGTCATTTGATGTTAAAGGCTGCTACGCTTAAGTTGTAATGAATTCGTTAATTGTAATTTGATGTATACGTTTAGTGTGCATTGCACCTAACATTACTAACATCCTAGGGTAAATCTCCACTATCATACTCACATGAAACATTAGAAACCGAAAGAGTAATGGCTTGCGCGTACGCCTTCACCGCTGGGACCTGGAATCAATCCTTGGCCAATCCATTTGGCATTTGTAGTAGACAGTGCTAGCTCTTGGCAAGTTTTCTCCCGTTTCCCCTACCTCTCATTCCACAATTTTTCCGTCATTATTGCTGCCATCTGGTGATTCTATCTTCTACCTGATCATCTACTGAGAACTCGTGGGTCTCAGTGTTCGTAGCAATTTAAGGGCCCTTATATCTCAATATATAATAAAATATTGGATTTCATGCGAATAGGAAGATCCATTGTCGAGACGTTTTATAAGTAACTAGCAGGACCCGACTGACGCCTTGCTCTCTCTCTTCCCCCTCTTTTTTTCTTTTCCCCATTCTCTCTTTCTTTCCCCCTTCTCTCTCATTTTCCTTTCTCTCTCTCTCTCTCTCTCTCTCTCTCTCTCTCTCTCTCTCTCTCTCTCTCCCCTCACTTTTCCCCTCTTTTTCTCTTCCCTCCCTCTCCCCGCTTCACCTATCCTCGGCCTCGCCCGCGCCACACGGCAACGCCCAGCAACAGTGAAGCTGGGTTGTTATTTAATGAACGCCAAAAGAGTTAACACTGGGGTGTGCTATGGAGAGACGTGTATTTTGTGCACGTTTTCTGAAATTCTGGAATTCCTACCTTAACCCATATACAAGTTGGAATTCTGAATGCAGACGAAATGAGCGTTTGGCAAAAATTCATAAGGAAAATGCGCTCTAGCGTAATTAAAACTATATGCAAATGCAAATCAACTGTAGATTTTGGCTATCTCTCATCGTGTCCTTCATGTAGGAATCGATGTCAAAGCGATAAATTTAAATAACTATATTACCCACTGTACTCTAAAAAAGACGTGCACAGTGAAGTTACATTTATGCTCAGAAGCAAAACAAGAGGCCATGTCAGCATTTCTTCGAAGGTTCAGCGAAACTAAACGAAAAACCTGACCGAGATGGATGACATTGATCCAGAAGCTGAGGTACATTACTTGCCACAGGGTGTTTAGAATTTTACTGTCCAAATGGCCATTAACACATTCCAAACCATTGTTAAAATTAATATTACTCTCCTCTTTGATGCTCGCTTTATGGTGTCTAGTTGTTTAGAAACAGTTACGCAACAGAAAAGATTTTACTTGGCACAAACATTTTTATCGAATTTAATCGTTTTATCGTCATCTAGCAGTGTGTTGTAAAATAACGTACAAGTGTTGTGTGTGAAGTTTTTGTAGTGGGCTGTTGATACTGCCACCTGATGAATATGATTACTACGTCGAGTGTTATAGTCATCTCCATTGGCTGAAAATATGTTCCCATCTTTGAGTAAGTCATTTTTGACAAAACCACTGATTCATAAATCAAGGGGCAAGGTAATGGTAGACACAACGAGCAGTACAGAGGCTGATTGAATTTGAAAGAATTCTGAACGCGTAGCACAATGTACTTGATTTTGTGTTCAATTCATACCTAGGTGAATTGCATTTAACTGAAGCGCCATCTTTCATGACGATCGGTCAATCGGTGTCGGAGTTGATCATTTCGAACTTATCAACGCGCATTTATACACACACACACACACACACGGTGTGTCAGAGAGAGAGAGGAGAATGTGATTCACCTTCATCATTACCTTTTTGTACGTGGTTCATAGTACAACTACTAAGTTGGCTCTGTCGGTAAATGTCAACAGAGATCGTGCTGAACGGAACGAAGGCTACGTGTTTCCGAAGAAACCCTCACAAGTGGAATAGTTTTACCTAACCTGAAAGAAAGGAAAGAATACCAAAACCCGTCTGAGGGTTCCTGCACCTTTCCACAATAAATCGTCAGAAAAAAGTGGTACAAATTTCAGCTGATAGTTACAAATGTCCGTGACCATGAAAATATATGAACTACATAATCTTTTTAAGTTTTCTTCCTCTTGTACACAATTATATATTTCTCAAGTTTCATTGTTGAGAACTGTACCACACCTAAATTACGATATTCAAGTCAGATGAAAATATAATTTTATTTCTTTTCAAACATCTAAATTACTCAAATTTGATGTCTAAAAATACAACGAAGTCATTGCGAACTTATTTATGTAGGATATGAATGTCAATTATTGTTTCACATCATTGTTTTCTTGCATTAATCCAACATTTCACCAATGTTGACACAAGAATATTGGATTACATGTGTCAATTCGCTTCATTTTTCGAACTGTCAGGAAGAAAAGCCCCATTCGCAGCACGCAGTGCAAGATACTCACTGACTTTGCACAGCCGCAGCGCCTCTGGGTAATCGCGCTTCATGAGCGCCGACAGAAACTGTGGACAAGAAAAACACATAAGAGTAGGTGGGGTTGAATTTGCACTAGAATTCTTGGAGATTGAGAGTTTCTGCATTTCTACTGACAGGCGAAAACAAAAGAGGGAGAGACCGTACATGTTTGTTACTTCAGCCCAGAAATGTATTTTGGATGAGGGCATTGCACAATTTGATCAGAATTTTTTCTAATGTCATAAAAAGTGACTGGAATACTGCATAATGTCGTTTACTTCAAAATTACGCTGTAGATGAATATCAATAGTTGTAGATTTGTTTTAATTCGGTCACTGAATGTTACTTGAATAATTAATTGAAAAATTGAATTTAACCAGTCGGGACAAAGATAATGTAACCTAAAAATGATAAATTAACTGTACATAATAGCACAACTTTCCGAAATAATAGAGAGTAATCGACTGCTAATTACTGGATATAACTGACTTTTTGCAACTTGATCAGTGGTAACATAAACAAATTCAATCAGATGATGCAGGGGTAACCAAAGGGTGAATGAGACTCCCTAATATATTCAGCAGTATAATTTTCTCGATCGTGTAAAATGTTTAAATGGCATTAGTACAAAATGTTGTTCACATTTTAAAACTTAAATGGTACTGTCGAACAACGCAATACAAATATGTCGAAATTGGTGAAAAAAAAATTGTATAATGAATAATTTCAAAATGATTCATCAATTTTTCGTTTTATTCAAATCTTCAGTACAAACTTGAACTTCGTACTCTTTTTCATAATATTAATTATGAACATTCGCCATTATATGTTTATTGGTGTAATATTTACCAATTTACATATTTTGTATAATATTTTTTTTAATTTCATGCACTCTCTTAAAACTTATTACTTAATAATCTAAATTTAGTAACACCACATTGTTTTTAGCTTGACATAAAGTATTCTCAGTTGTCTTCTATAAGTTGAGGTAATTATCATTATATTACAATTACTATGTTAAATTTAATTTAACAAAATAGTTGAACAAAAATTTTCACAGCTCTAAAGAGACTCACACATAACTGCATAAAATGTCAGTAATGAAATAAAAATGGTTTGAAAGCTAAGATTTCAAATCAAACTGATAGGTCATTAGGCTATTACTGATTGGTAGATATAGTCAGAGATACTATGTTGTAGTTGAATCTGGGGAAGAATTTGAAATGTATTGATTACATGACGTAGTCGTCAATCTTTAAATAAACAAATAACTAGTGGTGCTACAGAATGGCATAGACTTTCCGAATTAGTTTTCTATTTCCTTTGGTCTCGGTTAGCTACTCGGACTTGCCACGTACTCTTGCCAGCTGCCATCTATCGCTGCCAAAAGTATACGTATATTTTTTTATATTTTCGTAATTTATCTGTTTCCTAATTGTGTGGTGAAAATATTATTTTAGGGTTATTAAAGAACAGTAAAATCTCGTCCTAAATGGCAATTTTCTTTGAAAAATTTGGAGATTTTTTTTTAAAAACACTTGTGAATAAGCGCCACTGTAAATTTGAAGCACTTTTTCACAGAAAATGTTTGAGTTTTCGAAAAATTTCGTTTAAAGTCATTTTAAGTACTTTAACTAACAAAAGCATTTGAGTTTACAAATTGCTGGAAATGTGCATATCAACGGCGTGAGAGATCGTTCAAAAAAATTACATTTGTGTAATTTTTAAGAAAACAAAAAATAAACCGAACTGAACTGTACGTCATATTAAAGAATAGAATTAGCACTACCCGTTCTAAATGTTTAAAGAAACAAATTGGGGCCGTTTTTCAGAAAATGGCGTTTGATCGTTTCTAAAAATGCGGAGTTTTGAGCTAGTTTTCACAGTCAACGGTAGAGTTTTAGAGAAACTTTAAAGCACATGTACTCATAAAAACAGTAATGTGAACAAATTACCGCTAGTATAAATATTAACGACTAGAAAGACAAGTAAAACACATTATTGTGCATTTTGAGAAAAATAAACGAACAGAGCAACATGGCGTTTATGTCACTTAGCATTATCCATACCAAAAGTTTAAAGTAAAAATTAGGAGCCGTTTTTGAGAAAATATTGTTTTTGTAATTTTTTAAAATTGCACATATTGCATGCAGTATTGCGCGAAAACTACTAAAGTTTTCAAAAAAAATGTACATGACCTTAAGCCAAGAACTCACTATGGAAAACAAATTTTATTTGAAGGGAAAATCTCTATTTTTAATTTTGTAGTTGTGGGAAGACACCAAACAAATTGATAGTTTTGAATTTTTCGAAAATTTAGAGTTAACCCGGACAATCAGACCAATGGCACGTTTATAAGTATATATTACTCTATTCTTACAAGAAATGTGAAGAAAAAATTTGGAGCAGTTTTTGAGAAAATGTTCGGAGGGCTTCATGTAAAGTACCCCAAATTTGGAAGAATGTTTTTTCAAAATCTCTAAGTTTCGACTCGAACCTGATGGACAGGGGTTTCTTCAATTTAGAAAAAAATCCTACGCTTGGTGTAGGCGCGAGTAGTGTTCACAGACACCAGACGGACGGACAGACTGACGTTTTGAAAAAAAAAAACAAAAAAAAAACACTTGTTCAGTTATCTGAGAACCGTAGAACGTATATTTCCATTTAAATCTCGAAATCTATTTTCCGCAATATTATATAACTTTCCCAATACACGTACGTATACAGGAAAGAAAAATGTTAGAAGCGACTAAGAAGTTAATAGTTGACTGAATTGATGTTATTTATTGATAAAAAAAATCAATATTTACGTAATGGTTCCGTTTATCAATATTTTGTTGTGGTTGATTACTCATTTTAGCGATCATAATGAATATAACTGATAACTCCATCAGATCCCATTCAATGAGAGAACTAAGTTGTAATTTAAACAATTAGGGCCTAGGCCAGTTTTGCAATCAACATCACGAACGAAAACTCTTAGATTTACTGTTGGGAACATCGCACATAACACCATGGATGATTCACCCTTTGAGAAAAAATGTCACTGACATGTTGAAACGATATAGAAAAGGTCACGGGCATAGTTCACATGCTAATTATTAAGTAAGCGTATTAAAAGACATGACATTGTTCTGGAATGTATGTCATGTAAGCAACACTAACTAATGTAGACGTAGATAAATATTGTATATTTAATGCCTCATTAAGTCAACCAGCGAGGATAAGAATTATTTCAGCAATGCCCATTCTGGAAACTCACGTTTCCGGAATATTTTTTCAAGGGCTCAAATGAGAACTTGTTCTTAATCACAAACATGTGTTTGCGAAGAGAAATTTATGTGTTCGTGGAGTCTAGCAAATATTTATTTTCAAAAAGCAAAACAATTATTTTGTGACAGTTACGTGGAAATAACTTTTAAACATCCGTTTATTAAGTTACAACTCGTAAGCTGCATGCTCCTAACGTTGCAATTTTTTCCTACAGACTACAGAATCTTCTAAAACAATTTCCGGCGTTCCCGTGTTTGTCCCGTAAGGTTTCAGCAACTGAAGCAAAGTAGAATCTTTTTTTATAATATTACGTATTATTTAAGAATATGCTGTAAAAAACAAGATTTTTCGGAAAGAACGTCTCCATAAGAAACTAAAAAATTGAATATCGACCGGATCGCTATAGTTACAGATCATTATATAAGACCGGGAGCCAGCAAGAAAATCCACGTATGGTAAGTTTAGAGCTAAAACTTTCAGAGAAGTTAGCCAGTATTATGAGGGATAGGGAAATGCAAGAACGGCGGCCTGGAGGTGTTTGTGTTTCACTGCACAATTTTTTGAATGAGTCGAAAGAAAACGGCGTCATTGGGTAATGAGTACACAACTAATTCTTGTTGGATATTGGTCGTTAGATAGTCAAAGTGTGAAGCATTTGTATGCCATACCGATGTGGCGTCTTAAAATATACGCCATATTATGTCATTTTTTTCAATACTCTCTTGTATTACAAACTCAATGTTTTGCTCTAATGGTATAAAATTCTTTTTCTTTGCCGATTATGACCACGCCAAACGTTTTGAACGTCTCTATGTAGATGTCATACTGATTCAAAGATGTCCAATTTAATGCATTTTTTGCTGATTTCATCGATTTTAATGTCATTTTAATACTTCAAATAATATTTACAAGATGCAACAAATGTTATCCAAAGAATTCCTGAGTACCTTCCTGGTAGCCTATTCGATTCTTCGCTGAGAGGTTGTAATGTCTGCCATTGTATGTAATCTAAAGATCACGCGGTTCAGCCGATTTTGGGAAAACTAAAGACTGAGATTTTCTGGTAAAACATCCCAAACTAAAAGTATGACAGCCAAGTTCACTTGAACGAATAGAAGAAGCTTCGATTACATCAATAACGTATCCAACAGCTTGAGATTTTCATCAATTTTACGTCATTTTACGTCATTTTTCTTTGCTTTTGGGGCATTTTTATAACATTTTAATAGCTTTTTATTGATCATTTTCGGCGATGTTTAGGTAATCAAAATCCGCCCCTACTCATAACACGCATAACTTCTCAAAACCTTTTTACCATTGAGCTTATCGTACGTGGATTTTCTTGTTGGCTCCCAGTCTAATAGTACATGCTTTGGGATATTAGAACGTCATCTGACGGTATAATTCGGTTGTTCGTTGGTAATTCGGTTTCACTGTTTGAGTGTCGAGGCCGGCACACGCTCTTGCACGTTTGTGCTGTCGGCGCCACGCGCACGTCCGAGCAATGGTGCTTTGGCACTGGAGGTCTGCAGAGGCAGAGGGCTTACATCCCCGTGGCTGCGCGCTAGGGATGCACGTCGTTGGTGATTAGGGGAAAGCTACAGAAGCTGAATTGTACAGGCCCTGTCAGTTTCGATTAAGACCACTGTCAATTAGTAAAATACCAAAAATAGCGAGCTAGCACCTGCTCCCATGGCAGAGATATGGAAGAAGTCCGAACGGGAGCGGTTTTTGTAAACATAGTACACGTAATCTTTGATACACCCGCTGCTGCTACTGCATTGCTAGGACGCAGTGTGTCTGAATGACTATAACAAATATCAGGATAACTAAATCCGGTTCCTTCTCAGTCGCACAATCGCAATAGTGCAACATTTCACCACACGATCTCTTCAGGGTCTCCCTAAGCAGTGGTGAATCCGGGGGGGGGGGGGCATGGCCTCCCAAAAGCCCTAGAGAAAAACGATTTTTACCTTTTTATTTGCCAAAATTAATTTAATATTTACTTATGTTAAAATTATTAAATTATTTAAAAATAATATTATCAACTATCATATACACGCTACAAAAATACAATAACAAATATTTATTATTTAACAAACATCTATGATCCCCCCAGGATCGGCTATATCCTCAAGGGGACAACGGTTCTTACTTTCAGAACCTATTACGATACTCGTAAATGCGGAAATTCTGAAATGGAAAAAAACTTGAATTTTGATTTAAAGAAATGATTAATATGAGAGTTTGATTTCGCTCCGTCATTTTTGACGGGTTACTCGTAGTTAGGAATATTGTAAGACCACATAGGTCAGTGACCTTTGATTACGGTCACCTGCAGACAGAGGCACGAATGACTTATCTTGCAATAGCGAAGACATATGATGTTAATTGAATGACGTAAAAGAATGGAAATTTTATTTTATTGGAGCCCATAGAATATGTCAGAAGTGCAAAAATTCCCACAAAACTTTATTATTTGAAACTCACTATCGCCTTTAATCACCTTTTATCGCCATTTTTTAGAATCTTCTTTGAGAATCATGATTTCAAACTTTTAGGGCATTCACGTTACAACTATTACGGGAGACAATCCTCGCAGTCAGCAACTTCGAAGTCCAATAAGCTAAAAATTGAATACATAAATGTAGGAAGGGATAAGCGTGCTTGTTTGTCCGAAATAACTTGTTTTGAATGTTGAAATGCTTATTTCCTAGGTTGATCTAATCTATTTCTTTTTTGCGTTAAGCAAAGAGCTATTGAAATCTTTAGAAAAACGTGAGTAACATTACGCAAAGTGGCAGAAGGCAGAAAATGTTAACCAAGGCGCGTAGATCGGCCGAGTCGAAACGTGGCGAAAGTCGCGCCACATGATGGCGGCGCGGCGCCACTGCGCTCCCCCTTCCACCGCTGCCTGCCACGCGGGTGGAGCCACGGCCTTCGGGGGCCTTTGACAGGCGGGGGCGTCTCTCGCCGGGAGACAAAATGTCCTTTCTCTTGTTGCCAATTTTTTTAATGTCATTTCTCGTACTGACAAGAACGGTGTCAAAGAAACCCGGCTCCAATTTCTTACAACATTGATGGTTGAGCGGAGACAGAAAAAAGCGCCATAATACATCCTCATTCTCTGCGTACATAAGTAATTAGGAGATATTAATACGAGTTAGCAGTTGTACAGGCAATAATATCATGATTACTAAGGTAGCTAACGAAACATGTCAAACACACGTGAAACTGATTCGAACCAGTCCGAGAATACTAGAAGACTACAAGAGTTTGATTTCAGGAGCCATTACAACCTATGCTCCGATTGTCATTCTTCACAATTAATGAGCCATGCTTACACAAATATGAGTAATGTAGGTACGTACTAATTTCGATAGTTAGATACGTAGTTTCGATAATGGATTGTATCATGTATTGAAGTGATAACTTCAAATTTTCTGATCATGACACTTATGTACACCGGTTCGTACGTATACAAAACAATTTGAAATTATTCTTATACACGTCTGAGCTGACAATACATCGGTGTAGCCTACCTAGGAAATGTAAAAATTAAACGGAGGAGTCGAGTTTGCAGGTGTCTGTAAAACACGCACTGCCCAATTTCATATTTCCTTCAGTAAAATGACATTGTCATGTTCAGAAAAATCCCTCCATCAAAGATACTCTATATTTATTCTCTAAAAATTTGACAATATATCTAGAACAGAAGGACTGTTCATGCGATTATCCTTGCATTAGTGCTCTAGAACAGCTATGGCGGCGTGTCGTAGAGGGTACACCCACTCACCAAAAAGCTTTCATGACAAGCAGAGTGCATGTCAGCACGACTGAAACCACGAAACAGGGTGGCAAAAACGCCTAACACTGGAGGAGAGGCTGTCGCCCGTCGCGGGGGGCGGCGTGTGCGCGGGGGCGAGCACTCACCTCGGCCAGGCACTCGGTGGGCGCCGACGACAGCGACTCGTCGGCGTCCGTGTACTCGCTCAGGTCCTCGATGCTGGAGCGTGGCGTGCGCGCGGCGGCGAGCGGCGAGGGGCCTGCCCCCGCGCGCGGCCTGCGTGGGCACCAGCGCTCTATTTAGCCCGCAGGCCGTGTTGGCCGGTGGCCTGTGGCTCGGGACGTGGGTCGAGCTACCCGCCGCTGCTTTCGAGCGGCGCGCTCATGCGTGCCTACCTGGTCTGCTGGCAGTCTCCACTCCTAGATTTGACTCGGTAACGCGCGACCAGCGCAGGCTGTGCGAACGCACTGGCGAGGAGCGCGGCGACGGGAAACAGGGCCAAGGCCTCGCGATCCGTAGAGCGACAGAGCGAGGTGCGGAAGCCTTGCGCTCGTACCGCGTTCGGATGCCGGCGGCTCTCGCGGCGCGGAGGGCGGCGTGCAGCGCTGCCCTCACTGCCAGACAACGATGAGGGGAGGGCGCGCGCGCCTCTGCCCAGCGGCCCACCGCCGTCTTGGATGGCGAGCGGCGGTTGCGTGGCGTGGGGCGACATCCGGCCCGGCGGCCGTTGCGGCACGGCGGCGTGACCGATATGCCCAGTGCAGTGGCGACAGGCGGGACAAGCGGCGGTGGACGTTACGAAGCGGTGGCGACGCCAGCAGGTCCCCAGGACCTGCGTCGATAGACGTGGCTGCCGCCGCCCCGCCGGCAGGCGGACCCCGCGCCGCCGCCGCCCCCTCCTCCTCTTCCCCGCCCCGGCGCCGTTTCTATGGCGACGCGTCAACACTGCCGGTCGATACGGCGTTGCCCTGGAGGGGGAGAGAGCGAGGAAGGGCGACAGGAGGGAGACGGAAGTGGGCGGTTCGGAGGAGGAAAGGGGGGTGAAAGGTAGGACGGGTCCCCAAAGGCCATTCAACACTCAACGTCAACATTCAGTAGGAAATGCTCTTTATTGCGGCTGAGAACGTACAGAAGCGGCGAAGGGCGGTGCGGGAGGCGCGGCGCGGCGCGGAGCGGCCCGGCGCTGCGCCACCGCGAGAAGGCCGCGGTGCGCCGTACTGCGTCAGCGAGGGCCCTACCGCACGGCGGGCGGGCGCGAGACGACGCCGGCGACGCACCGCGGCTTCAATGAATGGCGCATTGACGCCTTCGCGCCGCGCTCCCTCTGAATAGACAGCCCTTTAGCCACGCACGGCGTTTTACAGCTGCCTTAGGAACTAAACATCTGAATGTCTTCCACACAATACGGACACATACATCAGTCTGTACAGTAAAGAGTTCGAGACGAGTCACTCGGTTGGTTGGGGCGCCAGTCATCGGTCACGTGAGGCACGTGCTGCGTACGCTTGCGTACGTTGCCGGGCGGAGCATCTTGTCCGCCCCAGCGCCCGGGGCGCGCCGCCGCCCCTCGCCCGCGATGAGGCACCCGCCGATGCGAAAGGAGGGCGGGGAGGGGCGGGGCGGGCGCGCGGCCGTGCGTGGGCGGGAGGCGAGGGATCCCCCAGCGTGCGGCGATCGAAGGCGCTGATCAAAGGGCGCCGGTGGTGGCGGCGGCGGCGGCGGCCGCGCGGTCCAGCTCTGCGCGCAGAAGCTGCCGCACGAAGTCAGCCCGCCCGGTCGTCGGCACCTTATTCCACTCGAACCACGGCACCTGCGGCAAATCGAGGCCAAGCATTACACTGTGCTGTTAGCAAAGGCACTCGAGTCAGTCTTCTGCTGTCATTAATGCCAAATTTCGCAAAAATAAACACCAGAAAAAATTGCACATTCATTTATTGCATAAACTCCGCTGCAATAGGTGCCACATTTACTGCCAAATGAAGCAATTACTATTCCATTAAGAATTTCATACCACTGCGGGACATGTGTTGGAGGAATATTAATTTGGGGTATTCAATGTAGACTTGCAAAACTGTAATGAATTCGACAATTGCTGTGAACGACACACATTAATAATGTAATTATTAAAATGAAACTCCGAGATGTATTTTGGACAGTTAGTTCCGCTAAATTATGTACGAGTGACGAGTAAAAACCGCTGCCTTTTTGTTGTATGATTGATTGGGGTGATTCGTCGGGCAGCACAGATATAGCAGTCGAATAGTCTATCATTCAACACATAACACGTTTTATAAACTGAACAGCAATGAATTGCCGCTACCTACAAAATGGGACACGTTCTGAGAAAAATCGTGGGACCCACTGTCTTACAAATTAACTTTACTGACCGTGTGAGGTGATCGATTACCTCAACATGAAGCTATTACAGCCGCCTAATTATAGAAATTCCAAAAATAAGCCTACTTTCATCCGCTGAGAGCGACGCAATGGGGCCGGGGAGCCTGCAAAGGGTATAGCCATCAAAGGGGTGTAACCAAACGATGGAGTGCAGATTTTTTTTTCAATTTGAAAGATAGCACACTTAAATACAGCAATGCTTTTAATAATTCCTAAAACAATTCATTATAAATAAAAGAATATATTAAACTGGATTCATAATGTACAATTTAGGAGTGGATTTATTTAATAAGTTTTCCGAAGAACAAAATCTGACATTATCAGGGTATCGGTTTAAGACGCAAGGTACAAAGGAAGAAAAGCAATGGTAGGTTTACAGTATCAGTTCTATAAGGCCAGTTATTTTGATGGAGCTGATAAAAACCCTCACCATTTACGCGATGATTAAAATTATTCTACAAACTCCGAAGGTTTTAATACTTGTCTGATTCCAGAACCAAGAAAGCATTAATTACTTTATGCGGAGTTTTTTTTATTAATAGTCCGCGTAACCAAGAATAAAAGAATGGTCCTCAGTCTCTGTGTAATACCCAGGGCTTTGTGATGCAATCCGGTTCCACATTCGGCGCTTCCAGCACGGATTTGCGCACGGGTAGTTATCCCGCTCGCGAGGGCGTGGATGTCTTTTTGTAGGCTTTCTCCCTGCACCGTTAGTTTCGATTTTGGAGATTTCCCGCGGGAAGCTGCGGCGGCAGAATTCTCCTCTTCCCGGCTTCCGCAGGGCACCCGCCTGCTTTGTAACTTCCGGTGAGGGGTCTCCGGGGGAAGAGCCTAGCGAGTTTTGTCAGCGCTTTTGGGGTCATCGGGGAGGACGCAGTAAAGCCGCAAAATTTCTTGCTCAAGAAGTTCGTAGCGATAGCAAAATGATACTTAGGAATGCAATTCAGGTAATAAAATAAACAGACTTTTTCGATAAACGTACGTACATATATGATCCATGATCAGAATTATGATAAAAATGATTTTATTTGCGAAGCATTAAACTAACAAAAAAAATTACATTATAAAATGACATTTCAGTACTTCTTTTTTCTTTCAATTATATTGCTGCTTGAGGAGATTGCTGCATTATTTTGCCCCTCATAATTACCCAAACCATCATACGCCCCGTGAAAGATAATGGCTAACCACCACTTATATCGTCTTTTTGTTTTTGAAAACGGGGTATCAAAAATGCTTGAGACTCATCCCTCCCACACGTCTTAAAGATCAAGAAGTTCATTAAAGTGTGACGCGAATAAGTGTAATTTAGTGATCGTGATGAAAGTAGAGCTGAAATTTACGAAAATACAAAAGTTAACAATTCCTGAAAAGAGATGAAAAAGAGAGAATTAATGAATGTACATGTATTCACATAACCTTTCATTATAAGCATTACCATTTTAAATGAGTGGAGAGAATTTAGCATCTCTTTTACGAACAATTTTGCAGTACACTCTCTTTTTCATTTTCTCCTCCCTGTTCAAACGACGTCAGGGAGAGGCATTTGCCAATTACGGCTCATATTTTGTTCCATACGAAATGCGAAAGGAATGCCATTTGGAATGACTGGTCCAAGGAATTTGCATAAAATTTATCTTACTTTGCCCACGGATTTTCCAATCTCTTACATATTATTTAACAAAGGGATAAATATTACTTGCGTTCTTTATCTCATTAATTACTCGCAGATCGCAATCCTTTTAATATACGTTATTTAAAACCTGTTTCATTGGGAAATTCTAACCATTCCCCCTCCCTCATGCGTCTTACCGAAAACGAAAATAATTGGACTAGAAGTAAAAAATACTTAAAGATAGCTCTGAAATTTGACACTTGAAGTAATTTGTTTTTTGTACGTATTTTGTAGAACTTGTGTCATCAGACTAGAAAAAACCTAGGCCACACAAGAAAAGGAATCGATTAGTCGTCGAATTTCGTTCATCATCCACGCGCAAGTTACTCCAAGTTTTAGCAAACCATCAATAGAAAGGTCTTCACAACTTTAGCAGTCTTCGAATCCTGGGATGAAAGAGGTAACAAGTAAACAACTTCCTAACTCTTCGGAAAGGCAGTGAACTAACTACTTGTCTATCGACAAGATATGTTTCAGTTCCAACAGACATTGATTTTCTGGCTAAAATGGGTGGATTTTTACTTTTTTTAATTTCTGCTCGTTCACTCCCGTCAGTGTTCTAGAAAACTGTTATTTCGAAACACATTTAGTACTGAATCAATTTTGATGATTCACATTTCGATAGAGTACTGGCGTCGTCCTATTTGAAAGGATTGGTAGTATTAATTTCGCCAGAAAATAAAGCACAATAATGTAGTACATAATTATATTTTGAGAAAAATAATGTAACGAACCATCTCAATTGCATACACATGACTTTACTTTCACATCAAGTGAATCTACAAACCGTTTGTTGACTAAACCTTGCATTCACATTGCATTCAAACCATTTCAATTCCAAATACATGAACCCGGTACTCGCATCTATTTCTAGAAACATAGTACTAATACACTACCCTTCCCAGTGACCCACTGCTGTGTTTCAACATCCGCTTCTTCACGGGCATTAGGCTTGGCAGTCAACGAGGCTTTCATTCACGGCTGGAAGCAGTGGAGATTTTATGAGCCCTTAGCGACCATTCGCGATCAATGGCGCGCTGCCGGGTCAGCGCAGGGGCGGATATTCAAGCGCCTCAAAGCCGTTTCGACGGGCACAGGATTAATGCCACTGCGCTGCATTGGATTTTCATACCGTTGACTTGTACGAGGATTATGATAGGAACACCATGAACGACTCGGAGATCCTATTAGAAGAAATTAATGTTAATGAATCTAAATCCTAGTGATGTCCTTTCATTTCTCTAGATATTAAGGTATTAGAATCTGTGACATGGACATAATTAAATCATTTCATTAATAATCGAGCAAATGTTGACTTTATTTTGTATTACTCTCACACGTAAGTTTACAGTTTTCTTGTCTTTCCACAAACTTAAGTTTTCTCTCGCCATTTCTGATGGTCCGTATATCATTTACATAAAATATACAATTGTAAGTGATATCAGACTAGGGAGAGGTTTTTGGATGGAGGATGAGAATGAGGAAATGATCAAACATAGCAACCTCGTAAATTCTGTGGAGGAAAAATGAGGTGAATGGTCTCTGGTTAAACATTAAATTTCATATTACAAATTAAAATGACGTCCACAACAGAAATATGGACAATAAACATTACCTGTATTACCAATATATAAAACTTCCTCCATATAAAAACTTCAATCATTATTAGGAGCATTATACTACGTATAAGAGAAAGTAAAGAGTTCATAATTAAGTAAATTAGCCATTTCGTGACATTGACTGGTTAAAGAGCAGGGAAAATCAGTTTCCACTTCACGAGTACATTAGCAAAGATTAACTTAAAGGTCGTAAAAATAATCAGCTATGGTGTAAATAGGCAAGAGTCCAGTCAACAAGTAAAAGTAGTGGTGCCACATATAGACACACAGACTTTCTGGTATTAGTTAGTTTCCTAATTTCTTTGGTCTGACCTAGCTTTTCAGTCTTGCCACATACTTTTGCCAGCAGACATATACCGCCGCCCAAAGAACGTATTTTGAAATGTTCTCAATTTTTCGGTTTACCGAAATATTACTTTAAGAATATTAAAAGAAGAGTAAGTGGCAATTTCAATTAAAAATTGGAGCCGTTTTTAAAAAAATGGCATTTAAGCTTTACTATAAATGCGAAATTTAAAAGTATTTTTCACAGAAAATATTTGAGGTTTTGAAAACCTTGATTGGAAGTCATTTGAAGTACTTCCACCCACAAATGCAATAGTGTATACAAATCGCTGAAAATGTGCATATTACAGGCGTGAGACATTAAAAAAATACGTTAGTGTAATTTTTGAAACAACAAAATTATACAGCAAAATGAATTTTATATCATCTCAAATAGTGCAATTGGCACTATATGCACGAACAGTTTGAAGAAAAAATTTGAGCCGTTTTTGAGAAAATGACGATTGAGCGTTTCTGAAAATTAACTTTTGAGATCGTTTTCACAGAAAACGTTGAGTTTTCGAGAATATTTATGTGACATTATTTCAAGCACGTGTATTCATAAGCAAAATAATGTGAACAAATCACCGCTTCTGTAAATATTAACGATGTGAGGTATTAAAATGCACATTTTTGTAATAAAAAAGAATAGAGAAAATGGCTTTGATGCCACCTAATAGAGTTCAATTACTAGTATCCCTACCAAACAAAATTGATCCGTTTCTGAGAAAATGTTCATTTTGTTATTTTTTAAATTGCACATTTTGCTCGCAATATTGCGCGAAAGCTACTAAAATTTTCAAAAAGTTTACTTGATGGAAAAATCTCTATTTTCAATTTTGTAGTTGTGGGAATACGCTGAGAAAAAAATCAAGCTTTTGCAATTTTCGAATATTTAGAGGTAACTGTGAAAATCGGAACTATGACACTTTCATAAGCGTATTTTACTCTATTCTTACAAGAAATTTAAAGAAAAAATAATGGTGTTCACAGACGGACGGACACTTCGAAAGACTAAGGACACTGAAAACCACTTTTTCGGTATCAGGGGACACCAAAACGTGTATCTGCAATCTCAAAATCGATTTTCCGCAGTATTATATATCTTTCCAAATACTACGTATATTACTTCGTATATACGTACGTTTACGAGAAAAAATACCTCTAGTAATTTAGTTCTCCGGTGAGGTTTACTTGATCAACGAACAGGGACAGTGTGAGTTTTGTAATAGTCATTGGGTGAGCTGAGCAACAGCTACTAGACACTAGTTTACACAACCCGCTGGTGTAAACGAGCCTCTCGGCTACGCAGTAAATCATCGAAAATTTGTCGACTTACGACCACGGGCCGGTAGCCGACGGCGGGCAGCTGCCGGAGCAAGGCGGCGGCGCCGCCGACGAAGCGTCCGTTGCCGTCGCCGTGCACGTACGAGTTCCAGCCGGCGGCGACGAGGGTGCACCACAGGGCTCCGTCGCGGGGCGCGGGGCGGGCGTCGGCGCCGGGCGGCGGGCCCTGCAGCAGGTCCTCGGGCAGGGGCAGGCACACCACGCGGCCCGCGCGCCGACTCGCCTCGGGGTCCACGCGCACCACCACGGGCGCGCGCGCGTGGTGCGGCAGCACGTGGCGGGCCGCGGCGCGCTCCGCCCCGCCCGCCGCCTCCACCGCCGCCAACTGCAGCTGCCCCAGCAGCTTGTCCGCCAGCGCGCCGCGCTCCGGCCGCTCCAGCGTCGGCGCGGCCCTGCGGAACCGCTGGGGACCGGGAGACACACATGGTTAAGCCTCAACAATACGAGCTCGATGTTTTGTCGTAATATGGGAGAGCTGTAACTCCGCACACACGTCAGGATTAAGGTCTGATAGTGCTGTTCCAAAGATAGCAATGGTGGAGAGGGTGGCAAGAGATGCATGCAATTTTGTACCCCAAAATAGAGATGTATGTATTCGTATGCATGTACATTATTTATGTTTAGTTCAATATGAATATATGTACGGATTGTATGTATGTGCAATATGTATATAGTACGCACAGTATGTATGTAGAAAATTGCTAATTTTTTAATGTTTAATGCACAAATGGTTTTCATTTTGAAAGAACTTTGAAATTTGTTCTCAACCCGGTTGTATTTTTTCTCTCCTATATACGGCAATGCCAAGCCCTTCAATTGTATTTAGCTTGTATTTAACTTGTGTATGTTCAGATGCAGTCGTGGAACCGGTGCACATTTCGTTCGTGAACTGAGGCCCTTACCCGTGCATATCTCACAGGATTAATTATTCTCAAAAACTACCAGAGATGAACACAAATAATTTCTATCTGGAGGGATATAAAATCTCTCGGGGGATGTCATAAATATAAAAATTGTAACTAGTATAGCAATGTTTAGAAATTGTCTCAGATACTTAGGAAATTGCATATAAAACTAGTGTATTAAAGATAAGGAATATTTAAATAAATTAAGAGTAAAAATAATAAAATACAATATAGATAATAAGATACAGTATAGATAATGATAAAATACAATATAAATAATATACAATACAAATAATAAATTATAGAGGACGAAAAGTGTGGGGACCCGCTCCCCATCCCGAATCTTCTTATGGTGCTGCATTAATGTTGACAACAGCCTTTTCTACCCTTCTCATATTGATTTAGCGATGCGCCCTGTGTTCTTTTTGTTTTGCTTCGGTTTTTTACTCGGTGGAAGGGCTGCGGACTCCCAAGACTGCCTCAGGCGTCGTGAGCTCTGGCGGCGCCATTGGTGCCCTTGGTTCTTGGACCTTGGCTTGCAGCCAATGTTTCAGCAATATTACATTACTCTTCCTAGCTTTGACAGCCTTGCTGCGGGGAAGACCACACGGGGATAGCCGAAATCTTGCCTTGCAATTTAAGATGCTGAGTCTTCCAAAGGGCTGAGGAAGTGCTAAAGCGCTCTGCGAAAACCGATTATACCGAGTGACCGAATCACGGTTACTATTTATATAATTTCACTTCAAAACGTACATTTTCTCTAAAGGGCTGATTTTTGCTGTGTTTATGAGAATTTTTGAATGTATTTGATTAATGAGATATTCCAAAAATACTAACCTCTCCGGTTTATGATTATGCGACGAAATGGACGTAATATAGTTTGCAGCGTTTATTTGTTCATGTAAGAGCTGCTTTTTCTTTTCGGATTTTACACATGTTTACTGTTGTTTGAGGTACTAAAACCCAGCCCGCCGAAATGCAGCAACCTTTCCTCCCAACGTGTGTTCGAGAAGCAGGACGTGAACAAAATTTTGCTGCAGTTTCCCCCGCGGCATCCCAAATGAAGTGGCGGAGAAAACGAGCGGGGCCTAATGGCGTGCGCCCCGCCCTCTCGAATGAAGGTAATTGAAGGTCTAATAATTCTTTCTCTGGTTCTTGGTTTCGCCGCCAAATGACATTCGAGAATTTAGGGACAGTTGTGCGTGATAAACCTGTTATCGATGGAAAGCAAAATGAGGAAAATGCAATTAAAATGATGATATACCTGTAATTTAATTAGGATTACAATGTGATTAATAATTTAATGGCTCATTATTCGACAATGAATACCGTTACATGTAGTTGCCGCGTTAATCCATTATAATTGCAATTAAACGGAAGTTGTAATTGTGCGAATAAATTGGTGTTCTCTATTTAACGAGAATGTCAGGTTTTATGGTGTGGGAATCGTCGCAGAGAGAAGTTGACACGCTATTTCAGAGATCGCATCTACTAGGGAAAATCATTGGGCTCAGATTATTTTCACTAGAAAACGCATTAATTAAATTACGTCCCTTCTCTTACTATTGCTTATTTGCTACGATACATGATTGCCCATTACAATCGCTCAATTGTTTAAATTGATTATGAATTTTTTTCTTCTGAATCAGATTAATTATTTGTTTATGCAGCTACATGACTTTCCTCTCAGCGACCAGTATTGCATTGATGTGTATATTTTGCTGTTCTAGGCAACCTGTTTTACATTACTAATTTTTTTTTTTACTTTTTCGAATATGTAGTGAAGAGAAAGTTGTGTAATGTTGCCAATCTAGGTATTTAGACAGAAAATCCACCTTTGGGGAGATTCTGACACGTTTATTTATTTATTTCTTAAAACTCTCATCCTCCGGCTGGCTGTCCGTCTGTGGACAGTTCACAGGATTTTCTCGGAAACGGATATTGCCCGACAGACCTGTCCATACTCTTAGAACTTGCGAATTTGAAGCGGATATTTTAATTTTGGAGGGTACTTAGCAGAAATTGCTAGGTCATTTTTAAAAGTTGCTCAAAAATGGCTCCCAATTTTTTCGTTAACATCTTTTTGAATAGAGCATAACCATACCTAAGATGTATGCCTGAACATATTACGGTATACTCCATGGAAGAAATAATGCAATTAAAGGATAAATTTGTCGCATTTTTTGAAACGGCTACTTAATTTCATAATACTATTAAGCACGAAATGTTGGCAACCCGTAAAAATATTTGCCGGCATATAGGATTCGATAATACTTGGGTCTAGCACTCAGAGCATGGTAGTAGAGAAACAAGTAAATGTGATATCTTCCATGGAGATCGTACACATGGTTCTACCGCACAACTGCTGGCCTCTGGCGGAATATGTCTCTTAGCGACAGGCGAAAAATAATGATTGTGGTGCATCTACCAGCATATTATTTAAATTATTTTCCGCATTAAAGTTGTATTAATCTTTATCAAACTTTGCATGGACACTGCGTAAAATCCTGAAGAAGAGCCTGTAAACATTTCGTATCTACTCATACACTCCTTGTTGTGAAATCGATGCCGATTACGTGTCACTGAGTTCACTTTGATTAGTATAGATTACTGCTTCTTCACACGTCGTGTAGTTAGAATAAATGTTTTGTAGGTCCTTGATACCGAAAAATCGATTCTGTCTGTGAACAACGCTAGTGGCTACACAGTAAACAGAATTTTCACCAAAATGATATTCCCTAATCGATTTCGCTGATGTCGAAGCTTTGAATTTTTTTTTTTAAATTTCGGGTGGGAGTATTTTATATGCATCACTTGGAAAATTGTAAATTCACTTCTTTACTTTAAAAAAATTTAATAGCTGATTATGTTATTTAAAAATTGAAAGATAATTTCAATACAATCAAAGCAAGCTTGTGTAAAATAATTCTTGCCTTTCTGTACTACATGTTTCAAATACTATAACAATACAACTTATTCATGTTTGTTCCATTTGTAAAAACGTTAGACGTCCCTGGCTATCAAAATAAACGCAGGTATGTACTACAGGCGCTTCGTTTGAATTGGTTGAATTTGACTTCATGTCATACGTAGTTTTTAGTAAGGCAGAAATTACAACATTACATAACTATTTCCAATAATGCGACAAAGTATAGACTGATGTAGCCCCTTTACTTCAAAAGTTGTAACAATTTCACTAAAAATATGTAGTTACTCATATTGTCAAAGAATTGTAGAAGACTTTGTTTAAGAATCCAATTTTAACACCTGCGTCCTTGCCCAGCGAGCAAGAGGGACGGCGGGTGGAGCGCGTTCACTCACCTTGGCGATGATGGTGCGCGCCCTGGGCGTCAGCCGTGGCACGTCCAAGTCCGGCCGCTCCAGGCTCACGGCCATGTCCAGGGCCAGCAGCTCCAGCTCGTACGCGTGCGGGTTGTCCCCTGCGGAACAACGGCGGTCGCCCGTCAATTGCTAAGGTCCTTAGCCCCGTAAGTGTAGTGCATGGCTATGATCTTCTATTTAGTACATCTACTACATAAAATGTATGTTTTTATGTGCTGTATAGATTTTAGAACCACTGAAGTGTTTGTTCCAAAATTTGGCACGAATACTTTTGAGCGCCCAAGAAAAAACGCGTTGCGATTCAAAATGTGTGTTTTTTTAAATGTTTAGTTAAAAGCAATTCCCAACGCAGCTACAGGGTTGCCGGGTGAAGCGGGACGAGGCCTAGCGGGCCCGGGTGGAGTGAGTAGAGGTGGTTAGGCTAGTGGGGGTGGAAGGAGCAGGCGTAGATGGAGGAGGCGGAACGAAAAAGCGAACCGAACGGAGAAAAGGACGCACCGAGGCGAGCGGGATGGGGCTGGACGGGCGGGCGAAGGTGTGGGCAGGTCGGCCAAGGTGGCTAGAAAAGGCGTCCGAGGAAGGCGGGAGAGACTGCTTAACAGATGATTGTAATAAATAAATACCCGGGCAACGTCGGGTAATATAGTAACTATTAAATATATCATAATATTTTCCTTAACGACGCAACATGAAAGATTATCTCTAAATTCTATAAATGTTTTGATATTTGCTTTGCTTTGTTCAGCAATCAAATAATAAAAATTAAAACCAGAATCAAAATTGGACCCGGCGCAGACTAGAAACTGGCTGTTCACTGAGGCGTTTTATTCTTTCCAAGTAAAAACATGGAAATCGAAGCGTTATTACAAAATGATGCGTTACCTCCTGGTTTTAATGTAGATAAAAAGGAAAATGGCAAGAGAGACAGAAGAACGACGTCAACATAAAGTGTAAAAGACAAGAGAAAAGAACAGAAGCAAAGAGGAAAGGAACGGAAAGAGGAAAATAAATAGCGCCAAATAAGAATGGAAGAAACTTACTAGAAGAAGGAAAGAAAGAGGAGAATCTTAAAGTGGAGAAAAAAGAAAAGCAGAGTGTGAGAAAACGAAAGAAAGACTCACCCTGCCGGAAGCTTTTGGCATGGAGCCAAGACACTCACGTGTCCCCATACAACGTCTGCGAAGGCCGTGAGCGAACGAATCATGGGACAAGGTGATTGCCTCCGCAGTGGTTAAGGGCTTATCCCAGCTCGAACCCGACCAAGGTAAAAGAAAGACAGATGGAACACGGCGATTGCCTTCGAACGACGTGTGAAAGCCCTGGGTAATTCCATCTTATAGACAAGAGAACAGTACAGAGAGCGTCATTGGCGCGAAGGCGCTCAGTTGAGATAGGGATGATGGCGCGTAATCTCTAGCCAAGCTTCGAAGTGTCAACTCCATCGTAAGAGGACTCGGGGTAACCGGACCCCTATCCGGATACAGAAATGTCGAGTTACAACAAAAATGTGTAACCAAAAAAGTAAATTATTGACCTTCAATTTTTCAAAGGAAACGATTTAGATAGACTTTTAAATATATTGTTAAATGAAAGTATGAATTGTGATGAGTCAGACCAGACATTAGCCTGAGTTATTTTGGTATTAGGTACGTGAAATTATTGTAAGAAAACAAACAATTTCACGAACGAAATACGAACAACATTTTTTTCTGTGATCGTATAAAAATGCTTGTATTAGAAGTCATGATTTCTTTCATTTCTAGTCTGTATGGCTTCATTGAAAGAAAGTCTCGCGTTCTATAATAATTTGCATTTCATCTCGGACGTTTAAAATATATTTTAAAAATACTTTAATCGGTAATGGTATTAAAATAAATTCACAAATAATGTGTACAAATTTGAGCCCTTTTTATTGTACAAATATTATTTTAATCTTGAATATTTTCATCGGACCAGGGCCCATAGACCCTCTCTGAAGTTATCCTTGAAGTGCAGTACATAGTGTATATATTTCAAAATTGTGGGCAGGGATATAAATTTCTAAGGGAATCATACAATTCTGAAATAAAGCACATAAACTGTATGGTTACAGTGGAGTATCCATGAATATTACATATAATGTGAAATGAAATTAAGCGTATTTGCTTAGCATGCTTATGCGAATTATCAAATCCTAATCTAATGATCGCTATGCGTTATATCGCCTGAGATCTTATCAAGTCAAGTAATTTTCTTTCTGCTTGAACATTCGTAACGGAGCGGCGTAAGGGTTAATTAGAATTCCGATCGTTAATTAAATTTCCCTCCGTATCTTCTCCGTAGTTTAGGAAATTTCGTCTTGGGGGGAATTTAGATAAGGTACGCAAAAGCAATATGTACAAAACGCAGATACTTATAACGAGATAAGGGGTTTGCTACAAGAAAAAATGTAGAATACTTTAACTGAATGGTAATAATTACTATTTTCAAACTAGAAATATTTGCATTCCTCACCTTAAAACCAAAAGCTACATGGATAACCAAATGGAGTGCTTATTTGTAGAAGCTGTACAGAATTAGCTTTAAAAATCACGTATGTTTCTTGCATCATTCATTTTTACATGTGACTAGTTATCGGAAAAAAATCGTGTACTATTTTAATACAGAGCCTTTGCAGATACACTTCTGCAACTGTAGCCGTCTTAATATCATTACTCCATTCAAGCGATGACGAAATTATCATGAAAATTGGCTTCGCAGTCAAAAACGTAAGTTGATGCACGTTCCTTCAATATACACTATGAGATCTATTATCACGTGAAAATGACTTACCAGTTCGTGGCACCCTCCTTTGGTAATGCTAGAATCCAATAGGGTGTTGGCCCACCCTCAGCTTAGATAACAGATTCCTCTCTCGCAGGCATACTTTCAATCAGGCAGCTCGTTCTTCATGGAGTGCTGCACTAAGGAGAGGTGTCGATGTAGGTCGGTGGGGTCTGGCATCCTAAACATCCCAAAGGTGTTCGATAGGATTCAAGTCAGGACTCTTCTGTGCAGGCCAGTCCATTAAAGAGATTTCTTGAACATTTTTGTCTTACACATTTTATGTTTTCCATGTGATTCATAGCCAGATGAATTTTCACCACCGACGGAAGATTTATTGGAAATACATTAATCTTTAACAGGATCGTTTTCAGGGGCATTAGATATTCTAAATGTTAGTCTAGGGGGTAGTTCCATCGAAGAACATAATCCGCATTTCCATGTCAGCAAGTTGTTCTGCTGTGAATTTTCTACTGAAGAGTATGTATCATCGTTGACTGGCAAACTCTTTGAATTTAGGGTAGGTCTCGTACCTGGGTTCCTGGGTTCTCCATATCGTGTAAACTTTTATTTCTGATTTTTCGCTTTTGCATAGTAAAAGCACCACATCACCTCCTTTCACACATCCCATGTCCATCTCTGACGTTGACTTCGAGCTACTGCTGCCTCTGGGCCCCTGGGCCTAATATCCGTGGGATAGCCAGACGTCGACAAGGTGACATTTGCGTAGTTTCGGAGCAGGTCTGCGACGTGGAAGAGCAAGACACTTAAGATTAAGATTAGATTTCATATTCTGTCCATTTTGCTCATTGGTTTTAATTGGAGTTTCGCAGGAAGCAAGTTGGAGCCCACAGATAATTCTTAATCCACGGGTTATTTTCTGTCATTCATTACGGTGATTCACAGTGGCCTTGCGATATCCCCCCGCAGGGCCAAACGAGAGACCCTACGGGATTTTCACTGACTGTTGAAGGCAGCCTCCTTCGCTGGCTAATGCAAGGTTCGGACCTCGCGGTTGATGTCCCAACCCAGTTTCTCTCCTGTGCCCGCCAAGTCCAAAGGTGCATGGCCCTTCCTTCTCTACTTCCCGCTGTCGATGAAGCTGCCCCTAACATGGACACTGACGCTGTTTGCAGCCGCCCGCTTGTGTTCGAGGTGCCTCTTTATTAACTATTATTGTTATTATTATTATTATTGTTATTATTATTATTATTATTATTAGTATTATTAGTATTATTAATGGCCATGAAAGTGCCACACGGCGTGCAACTCAGCGCTCACGAGATCGATTTCACGTCATTTAAGAGTCGTGATTAATGATTTTACACGAAGTACCATACTAACTGGAAATGAAGTCTAACAAAATTTGAAATTTGCCATAATGTAAATAAAAGAAGACCGTCTGCCTACAGGCGGACCCACAAACACATATTCACCATTGAGACGAATATCAGCCAAAAGCGACGTCAATCGAAGAAACGCTATTGAGTTACTTTTAAAGGAGTTTTGCTCCACCTTTGGTAAAATTCATAGTATAATCTCGCATAGAGATCTCCCTAATATAAATTCAATTTAATACAAATTTATGGGAAGATATTTTCAGCGGAAGGGGCAAAGTTTCTTTAAATTAGAAAAACATGGAAAATTATTGAGGAAACGAGAAAAGTTTGCAAGAAGACAACGCACCGTTCTCTTTCTCCTCTGGGAGGAGGAAAATAAGGCCCCAGATACGACGTAGGGGGTTGCAGGGCGTTCAGACAGGACGGTCGGATGCGAGGAGAAGAGAAGCACGCAAGTGGGGCTGGATTGTGTCATTACGGGCGCACAGACTGCGAATAGCACGAGACCCTCTCTTCAAAAGGAGGACTCAGCCGTAAAATAGGTTAACCCTCAAAATTGTGGGTTTTGCTATGCTATTACTTTTTGGCTCCCATTTTCTCTTTTTGGAATGTGAAACTCAATTACTTAAAGTTATAGTTCACACACGACGCGTTTGTCATCCTTTTTATGTATCAAAACAAAATATTTACAATTCTTACCAAAGTACTTCTGTGTCCTCAGTTCTCAGCTATATCAATGTAAGTTGTTTAACAAAAGTTGTTTCAGAAGAAAACATACGTCGCTTCGTAAGTGCACCATTTTTACACGTATATATCAAAAATATCAACAAATTCACGAGTGTTAGTGTGACGAGTAAATATATACGAGATTTTAAAATCCCCAATGATATTAGAACAAGTAAAAACAAAAATTAAAAATATTATTTGACATCAATATCACACTCATTAAATTACTAAATAAAATATGATCATAAAGAGCATGATGGTGTACGTCCAAGCAATAAAATTAAGTGAGTAATGACTTAGCAATAAAACCAAAATGTTTAGTGAACACAGTAAACATTTTTGAACACCACTTGTTTGTATCATAAAAATAGAATAAATATTATACGAATAAATTATACATATCCAACGGGTGTAAGGCAACTATAAAATTTACTCTTCGAAATAATCCAGAACTTTTTTCTTTTAGAGCAAAGCGAATGTGATAACGAAATATTAGGTGCCTTAGAAGATTGTGTTTATTTTTGGCAAAGTTCCATTTGCTTTCTCTACGTTTCTCTGGTTTTGTCAGCTTTATCTGAAGCCAGGAGAAAACGTTCGAGCACAGCTGCAAACTTGAGTTAAAATCTGATCCAAAATTAGAGCTCATGTGGAGCTAAATACGTGTGAAAGCAAAATAGTTGCGCACACAGCTTTTCGATACTACACGAGTTTCTGTTGTTTCTCTTAAAGCCAGCAGAACAGCTGCGGAGTTCTAAAAGAAGCAGCAAAATTATTAGAAGTATGTGCCAATTTAATGCTTTATGTGCGAAAAGAATTGTTATCCGCTGCCACTGGTCCTCGGGGGGTGTCTCGGGTCGCTGCGTGGACGAGCCCTGGCGCTCGCAGCTGGAGGCCGGGGAAGGGTTCGCGCCGAGGGGTGCGCGGGGGCCGCTGCAGGGGGCGTGACCGCGCGGGGGGAGGCGCGTGAGGGGGCACCAAACGCGCGTGGTTGAAGTCCGCGTGATGGTCCGGTGGACGCGCGGAACGCACGGGAATACGAGTAAACTGCGATTGCATTCGATCGTTCATGGGATGCCTGTTTACGCATATTTTCATTTGAACATCAATCCTTTTTCTGGGGATGGAGCTACCCCTGTAGTCTAACCAATACGAGTGAAGAGATACCAATAACTGACAGACATTGCTCTACCCCTTGCTTACAACCCCCAAAAAGCATTGTGGTAAACACCAAAATAACACAATCTAGCAGAGGAAATAAATACAATATGGAAACTGGATAGTGTGAGAGTTGTCACGTTGTGCATCTCAGCTCTGGGGATTGAACCGAAGTATTTGCTTCATAAAATTAAAACACTAGGTTTTATCACGAAAAGGATGTGTACGTCGAAATATAGGAGGCGGTGTTGCCGACAACTGCAAATATGTAGAGCAGACTTTTAAATACTTCGGAATAACACATGACTTCGTGGACGCGCTCTGGGAAATAGGGAAGGGGGAGAATAGCGAAAAGTTTGGGAAACCTATTTAAAAGAATAGACACAACAAATTACTCGAAAAAAACAAAATTATTTTCTACGCAAAGAACTAACAGATATTAAAAGAAGTTTGCACAAAATTTAGAGTGCTCTCAGACATTTTCTGATTGACCTAAAATAAAACATGTTAAGACTTGTATAGCAAATATATACTCCTACATTGTATGACTCCTACATTGCAAGACGCTTATCAGAATGCGCAGCATTGGCGCACATAGCTCATAAATTTCACACTGAATACCCCAAACAAAATCTCGTGGTTGCATTTACCTTTAATGCGCGTACACACAACATAAAACCACGAAGCCTGACTTCATAACCGACACATGAATGCGTGCAACAGCGAAAACTGGCGTAAAACCTATAAACATGGCATCTTGGGATTCCATAAAGCCTGTAAACGCCGCATCGCAAAGGGCGAGGCGCGACGGACGGAGTGCGCGGGCAAACCACCCTGTGCTTCCCGTCTCCCCTCCGCACGTCGCGACCCCGACCCTCCGGCCCTGCACCGCGCCGCGCCCCTCGACTGCGGCTCGAGGGGGGCGACGATGATGTGGGTCGCGAGGAGAGAGGAAGGAAAATGCCCGAAAACTGTGGAGCACGGATGCCAATGTCGACTATCGGCTTCGAAACGCGATAGGTTAAATCCGGGGCGGTGGTTTAAAAATGAGTGTTCTATAAGTGGCCGAATCTTATTCACGCAGATCTCTCAAGTGAGTGGGCCAATAAGTGACCAGGCAGCTTCCGAAAGAAGCAAGTCACAAGTCATTCCTATAAGGGCGATCGCGTGCTCTCTTAGAACTTCCTCACTCGGTCTTCTCTTAAGGTTCAGCTATGTTCTCATGCAACAATTATTACTTCAGTTATGCGTAATACTAACAATAATTGCAGTTTGATGTGTAACACATCATCCGTACTACATAAACTAACACGCGAGTCACAGAAATATAACCAGTGATGTATATCCAGTATTATTTTAAAATCGCACACGTAAAATTTGGGGCTCTCTATAAAGGAACAATTGAATGTGCATACTTATGCTCACATAACCACGAAACAGTTAGTGGATCGTTGCCGCATTATGGAACATAAAAAAGAATACAATTCCAGGTCATGAGGAACATATATGAAATACCCACCTCTATTAAAGGCCACATTTTAGAAAAGCTTTTAGCTGAAGTATTTCCTAATTCCTTAGGTTGTCTATAAATCCGAGTCTTAATACTGTTTTGCTGCAAAATGTCACATTGATAAGTTCATTTTAAGTCATTGCAATTAATTCCGTACGTGACATTTTTGGAATCAACTTTTCATATCGATGGTTTAGTGTACACACATTGTATATCTAGAATTTCTAGTCTCGAGAAATTACAGTAATTACGTACAATGTCCACTACACCATCGTTTCTTGTGAGCTCTTTGACCACGCTTTTATTCACTAATCTATATATCCGTCATCTTAAAGTCGCCTTCTCTGAAGTTCATGTCGGCGAAAAAGTTGGCCAGCTTTACGAATGCCGTCTCTCGGAATGCGAAAATTCCATTGCTTTCTATCGCATCATATTCATAGTTAAGCTACGTATTTTTTAGTGACAGTTTTAAGTCCTTTAAATCATGAATTTGGCATTGGAAACTGGCCGCAGGCTTTGGAAACTGTCAAATCCGGTGAAAAGGCAGTTTATAGTATTCCTCTGCACCGGAACGGTGCCGAAACCCGGGAAGTGTCGTACTCACCGAAGTGCTGGGCGAGGTAGTCGGGGTGCATGGCGCGCTGCAGCAGGTCGAGCGGGTAGACGCCGCACAGGCTGAGGAAGTAGAGCACGCGGGGCAGGCACCTGCCGTAGGCGGCGAGCTCCTTGGCGCGGGCCGGATCGCGCAGCTCGCGCTGGAGCGCGTCGAAGATGCAGGGGCGGGCGTCGGGGGGCGGGGCCACGCCGAACAGCCCCAGGGCCAGCGCCATGCGCTCCAGGTCCTTGATGCGCGCGGCGCCCGCCTCGCGCGCGAACCGCTCCGCCACCGCCAGCACCAACCGCTCGTGCAGCACCTGCTCACACGCACGCGTTAAATGTGATCAAGGGGTCGGAACTTGGCCGAATGGCCGGCTGATCGGCAAGCCCGGAAAAGAAAGCAAAGACTAAGCAAACCCGCGCGTAGCCCACCTCTGTGCATTTTACGTCTCCAGGACCCCCAAGAATCTACTGACTCTGGTTGTGGAAGCCACCATCTTATAATTAGAAACATTTAAGAACTACAAAGCGTACGAAATTCAGTGCGTGGAAGTTCAGTCAAACTGCTGTGCTACCGAACTGCTACGTGCAGTTCGTGCACACCAGCACACCAACCAGATATTGGCATTCCACGGAACCGAGGAACTCTGAATGAATCGATTATAATTTGAGCTGCTTATCAGTTGGACATGTGGTCGACAGGCTGTGGAGGGGAGCACATCCTACACAATAAACACGTGTCCGAATTTCGCGGGCAACCAGTACCAACTTCTCGAATGATGTAATTCGGGCGCGGCATCTTTCAGACAGCCAAGGTCTACTGACTCCGGTTGCCGAAGCCTGTCTTGTAATCTGATACTCACGTGTGTTTTAGAAGAAAACATGTTCGAAATAGTGAATGAAGAATAATTCGTTCCCCGCCCCACCTCCTGCACAATCAGCCGCAAAGGTCACATCTGCACACACTGGTCGCAAAGGAAACGAGGAGGCGGCAGAGGTGAGCCAATGCTTATTGAACCTATTATAATTTAATGCATCAATATAGAAAAAAGCAATGTCACAAAATCTGTGATCAGGTGATCGGAGACTCAATACCACATTATTTTCAGAAGTTGTCTTATTAAATCGAACCGTGCTGCTACCGTGAGCACCTGCTTCTCCTGCAGTACTAGCGCACGCGCTTGCGCACACACACACACACACACACACACACACACACACACACACACACACATACACACACACACATACACACACACATACACACACACATACACACACACACGTATACAAATATTTACCGCTTGCACAGGGAATTCTTTTCATTCACAAATAATAACTGAATGAAGTTACGTGAAAGTCTAATCGATCAGGGGAGGACAATTATGGAAATAAACGAATTAAAGATGAAATAACATCCATTAATTCGCGATCCTTCACCCACGAAGTAGCACATTTCATATATTTGGATGCCATTAAATATTCGTGATATTTATACTACACAAGAGCCGTTTGATTTGATATCGGTCAAAAGCAGCCTACGCAATTAAGCCTTGGATTAAACACAAAAACTTGTCCAGATGGAATCCCCAGCAAATTGTGATCTGATTACGCAATTGAAGAATTCGCATTTCCTAAATTGATTGGATGTTATTATAAACCTTGCCCCAGACAGAACTGCATAGTTCATCTCTGTGGTATTCAGAGCGCAACCTCCCATTTTTATTCGACAAAAGCTCATGTGATCTCCCGTAAGTTTATGTGAAACACGTACTAGTAATACCTCGTATTAACCCTTCAGCGCCCGGACTAATTGTGTAGCACGTCGCGCGCGCGTTCATTGTCATTGCGCTCTTGTGCGCAGGACATTGTGAAAACTATTTCATTTTTACTGACACGTTATTACTTGTTATTGTCTTCCATACGTTCGATATTGAAGTTCGATCCAGAAGTTCGATATTGACTGCATAACTTACCTGGATTGAGAGGATCTTGGTGACGAGAGAAATATGAATTAAGTTGAATCTACGTGTTCTCTTAAGAAGGGAATTATGAGAAGGATACATGAAATGACAAACCAGGTAAAGTTAACAACTAGTTAATTAGTGAATAAATAAATATGAATGTTTAAAATTCGCTAAAAAATAAAATCATGTACCACATGCGTTAACTTGTTCTAATGATGGGTTCTAATGAGCGCTCGATCATTAGAACCCTTACAATAACTTGGTGCATAAATATTATTTATTACTTCTTGAATACACGACCACACAATTAATTCTAGGAATAGTAAATGGGTGTTGATCACTTAGCTAAAATCCTAGTTTGCAAACCTTTCGGAACCTTCTTGTTCGCTCGTCAGGGCTATGGAAAACATAATTACACGATTACTATACAGGTGGGTTACATGAAAAAGAAGCGCCATGACTCAAAATGAAAATAATTTCTGCTAGATTCTGATAAGGAATCGGATCGCAGTGTAATTATGTGTTCCATAGGGAGGAGGGACCAATAACGTTCCGAAACGTCCGCAATCTAGGCTTAATTAAGTGACCCATTAACTATTTCTGGTATTCTTTATTAACACACATCACAAAACAATTAAAACTGTGTTTTACGTACTATACGTGCAATTGTCTCTTGTATCTTTTGTTCTAAGCACAAGCTTACGTTTGATCAGACTAAGGCGGTCCTATCCAATGTTTTTTTTCTTATTTCCTTGCCTCCAAATTATTAAAAAACCTTTTTTTGAAATTTTAAACATGCTAGAAAATTGTTTCGAGAAGCTATTTCTTTTCGTTAGAGTGTTTTAATACTATTTCTTCAGTGTGTATTGCTCAGGATCACCCACCTCTCAGGGGCGCAGGATTATTCAAAGGAGCATGGGGAATGTATGTGCATTACGTTGAACTGAAGGGAGAAACGAGAAAATCATTTGAAAGCTTGCTTTCTCCAAGACAAAATTATACAAATTCAAGGTGGAAGGCAATATCACTCACTACTTCCCTATCATTTAAACAGTGAAGTTGTCAAATCTTCACAGATGGAATTGAACACGTAAAACGTATTGGAACTAAATGTTAATTTACATCATAGCACGACAGACACATCGGACTCAATAAAAATAGCAATCATTTCCGTGTTAATGCTACCGCGCGTCATGAGTTCATGTAAACTGAAGCACAATTCGTATCAAAGTCTATTTTATTATAACTGCTTTTTCGAAAAGCGTTTCATGGCGTTCGGCCATTGTTCGATTTTACAATGCAGCATAAACGTTGCAACTAACGATGTTTAACGCAATTACGGTGCATTGTAAGCGATGCACGTTATTTAAACTTACCGGCGAAACAAATATGAAAGATAAAGGTAATCCAGGACTCACAGTGTTCGAGGGTAATATCGTTAAAGAGTTTCCGGCGTAAGAGATAGGCCATTATCCGAAATACGCGAGAAACGTAATTGTCTGGATTATATTCCCTATAGCGGGGCTTTAGAGAAAAGCCAACCCCACCCGTTGTTTACGAAGTCACGTCGTAAATATAATAGAGATTAGTCCACGGGAACAAAGAATCGATAGTTTCTAAAGTAGAAATTGCCGAGTTCTTAAGACAAAAGAAAAGCCATATATACACGAAAAAAGAATGGCATCTTCGGACAAAAGACCCTAGAGAAGTTTAAAACGGTAACAAGAAAGACAGGCCGGAAAACTCTACAAAAAATTGCCTTTACTAAAAATATCTTTCGGGAAAGGAAAATCACCCAAATGTGATGAACAACTGCACTAAATCATTTTAGATATTATACGTGATATGTACACGAATTGACACACTGCTGACTGTCTCCTACAGTGATACGGAAAGAAAATTAGTATCAAAAAATCATTTAACTTTTTCTACTTCAATGAATTATGTTTCTTTTTATCCCAAACGTATTTCCGTTTTCCTGTTCAGTTCCTTCGATAGATTGAAATCTCATTTTGTGTGTTCTATAAGCCAATGAAATACTTTTCTTTGTCAAATGCATCAATGCTTTATCCCTAAGTTCAGAAGTGATGTTAATATTCTATTTCATTATCGTTGTCTTTTAATTACTGTAATTATTTTCAATTGATATTTTATCGCATTTGAAGATCCTAAGTTTTCTGGAAATTCGCCCAGAGTATTTTAGGAAGTCGTTAAAGATCCTTTAAAGTTTCTGACGTTTTCGAGAGAACGGCAGGTCATTAGTGAAATATGAATGATGTCATTAAAAGAAAGGAACGAATATTAAATACAGAATCTTCAAAATTACAATACATTAGTCTTAGACTGCTAATTGCTTTTATCTAGAGTGCAAAAATCGGAGGAAAGGGTCTTTATGGAATGAACAAAAGACTTGAAATGGTGGCAAGCATAGTGCGATTACGAGATAAAATCTTTCAGTGCACCCCATTTATGAGTTAGACTAAGCAATGCGATTTATCTTACATAGAAGAATCTAACAATTAGGGTCAGTAATTCATGTGTAATTCAATAAAATGAAAAACGATGTTTCAATTTCAATGTATTGTACAATGCTAGTGTTTTTAGTTTCCTGAAATAAAAATGTATGTTCGAATCCTTTACTGATAAAAGAGGTATCCCAGATCACATATCGCTACATTACCATGAATGGAGTTATTAGATTTTGAATATGATTGTAGCCCGAAGTGTAACATACAGAAGTACACTAACAATATAAATAAATTATACTACTCTTTACTCTTGCACATTACATATATTTACAACATTTTTCTTACATTACAGTGCATACATAAACCAAGTAAACAATTTTACTTAATTTGGGTTGTTGGAAATGAATATTTCATTGTATTTATTTTAAAAAATGATCATTCTTAAGACTATATAATCTAAAAACAGGAGGACGGACAATTGGACGAACATTTTGGCTGCGATCTGCGACTGTTTTCCTTCTAGGCCATCACTTTAATGGACGCTGATTAAATTATAACGGCCGAGTGTACTGGTATCGCCAAATTTCCGGGATCATCGGAACATTCCCGGAAAGCCACGTCCATTAAAACGTTAATATTGGGTTCGGGAGCGGTATTGGAGGCCCGGCGGAATGCGCTACGTTCTGTACCAGCTAGCTCGCCGTTTCTTGCTTCACGCTGCACGAAATCTCGCGCTTCCGACAACCGGTGCCCCGGGCGCGACTGTTGCATCGGCAAAGAACGAAACCACACGTAAAGGAAACATGAGTGGAATGAGCAATGAAATGGGCGCTGATTCAAAACGCTGTACGTGAGAAGAGAGTTGGATTAAATTCACTCTCTAATCAAAAATCGCCAATTTTACGCACTCCGCTCGCACATCTTTCCGTCAACGCGAGGCGGCGGCGCTCGGCCTCCATGATTATCCAGAAACGACGTGTTGAGTAGCCAACGCATTTTACGCCAGCGCCCAAGAAAGGCCACGATTGCGCTCGCGTAAACACTGCTAATGTATTTCTTCTCAGTTGTAAATGAAATGGAAACTCTCCATCACACAACCGTTGGATTATATAAACTTTTGCGTGCACTTACTACCTCAGTGACATTTTGATTTACATTGTAAGTTTTGTATGGATATTGCAAAGCTTTGTAGTTCTTGGGTGTTACATGGTTTTGTATCTCTATACCATCTATCTCTCCACTGTACTCTTCACATGTTCCATTGGCTTCATGGCCAGATTAATGTCTTTCGGGGGCCCTAAGCGTGCAACTGTAGGATCCCCTAAAAATATTGAAAAATTGATCCCAAGTAATCAATACGTTTGTGAAAATACCCTACAACAATTGATATTTTAAAAATTAACATTAAAATATTTTTAACATTTATCAACTATTACTAAATACTATTTAATAATTATGAGGAGCCCTAAAGTCGTGTTTGTTTATGAATCAGTGGCGGATCCAAGTGACCACTTCATCCTAACAGTTTAAAAAAATAGTATTTCAAAACATGGGGGAGGGTGGAAATATTTATTCTGTTGAAAATTATGCTCTTAATTGAGCAGATATGAGCAAAATAGAAGCCGCGGAAATGCGATTTCTTAGACCTTTAAAGGGCTATGCAATACTAGAGCATAAAAGAAACTCGGACATCAAAGATGAATTCAAGATCTTCAACCTAACTGAAAAAATAGGCATACTAAGAAAGAACTGGAATGATCATTTAATGAGTGTGCCGGAAGATCGAATGACAAAAGGCCTTTACAATTACCCGAACGAGATAAGAAATAAGTCAATGGAAGAATATTGTTGAGAAGGAACGGGCCAATAGGCTTAACCCATGATGATAAAGAAATATTT